TTTCTATGTGCGTGTTTGTATCCATTGGCAGTCTTGCCCAGCCTGGAGCATAAGGGCAGTTTAACTCTCCAGTTTCCAGAGATGGTGCAAGCTGGTGGTTCTCAGGGGCTAAAACCCAGCAAAAACAGCAACCTCTTCTCCTCCTCCTTTTAAAGTTGTGTATTTCCTTGCATGCACACATGTGCATCACATGTGTGCAGTCCCCACAGAGGCCAGAAGAGGGTGTCAGATCCTTGGAACCGGAAGTGAGCCTACATGTGGATGTCAGGAAATGAACCCAGGTCCTCTGCAAGAGCACCAAGTGCCTTAACCTCTGAGCCACCTCTCCACTTTCCCCCCTTCCTTTTAAAGAAAGTCCTCTGTAGAAGAGGCAGGTCTCTTTCCTGCTCATCACCTCCTTGGGGGTACACTTACTAAGCAGATTTGGAGACTATGTGGAATCACACCCATTTTCTTGGCACTGAAGAGAAATGGTTTCCTAAACTCAGGTAGTTGGGGGAGAGTGTGGGTCCCAGTGTGAACCCCTAAGGTCAGGAGTGGGAAGCAAAGCTGAGGCTTGAAGTGGACAGTGACAAGTATGTTTAGCCACAGCGATGAGAAGACATGACAGTCAGGGCTTCCCCTGCCCCATGAAAGGGGCTCATCATTACACAGTGGGGACATAAGTGAGTATTCCCCAAGAAGCACATTCTAGAGGGGTGGGACTTTAAAGCCGTGTGTGTGTGTGTGTGTGTGTGTGTGTGTGTGTGTGTGTGTATGTATGTTATGTATGTGTGTGTGGCTGTGTGTATGTGTGTGTGTGGTGTGTGGTGTGTGAGTGGTGTGTGTGTGTGGTATGTGTGTGTGTGTGAGTGGTGTGTGGTGTGTACGTATGTGTGCACACACACAGGTGTTCTTCTAAGGATTGAACCCTGACCCTTGTATTTGCTAGAGACATTCTACCACCAAGCCGCATCCCCAGTCCTTTTATATTTTTATTTTTGCTTTTGTTTTGCTTTGTTGACATAGGGTCTCACTATATAGCCCTGGCTGGCCTAGAATTCACTGTGTAGACCAGGCTGGCCTTGAACTCACAGAGATCCACCTGCCTCTACCTCCCAGGGTCTGGGATTAAAGGCGTGCGCTATCACCACGCCTGGCCCTTTCTATTTTTTATCTTGAGACAGCATCTCACTAAGTTGCCCAGGATGGTCCAGAACTCACTTCCATCTTGACCTCCGGCACCCTGGAATGGCGGGTGTGAGCCATCAGGCCCTGTTGTTTTTGTTTTAGGAAAACTGAGGCTCAAGAATCCATGTGGTTGATCACCATTTATTAATTACAAGAGCCAAATCTCATGACAGCTAATCCATTCCATCCTCTTTCGATTACCCAGGCTGAACATCCCATTCCCCCAAATCCAAAATCTAATTAAAAAAAATTTAACTCCTTTATTGACACTTTGGGAGTTTCACACCATGCACTCCAATTCTGGTCATATCCCGGTCCCCCCATAACCTCCCCTCACCCCTGCCTTACCCCCCCCCACAAAAGAAAACAAAACAAAGTAAGAAGCCAGCAAACAAAAGCAAAAAAAAAAAAAAAACCACCCCCCAAAACAAAAACAAAAACAACAACAACAACAACAAAAATCTCTTTGCTTCTCCTCTTTCCTGCCTCTCCAACACATCTTCCTTCGTCCTGGTGGCATTGGAGGCTTCGGTGTGTCACACAGTACACCCCTTTGTCCCATCAGCTTTACTGGCAAATGTTCATTGCGATGAGTTACTGGTCTCTTTCAAGGCCTCTGGTTTCTGGTACACCATCCTCACTGGATCCTCACCAGAATTCCTCTGGGATATCCTGTGGCTCCCATGAGTCTTGGAGATCCTGTGGTTATCATTCCACAGGACCAGTCCTCTCATGCGCTCCAGCAGGTCCTAGATGGGGTGGATGCTAGGATGAGCAGACCCAAAGCCCGGCTGTGGGCCTGGATGGTAATCAAGCTGGTCAGTCTGGGCCATTGGGGCCACCTGCCTTGGGCGAGGGGGTGGAGTCAGCTCCCCTACATGCATGCCCTCAGAGTCAGTTCAGCCTCACCTCTAGTGAGGGGTGGGGGCCTTCTCTTTCAAGTACGGGGCCAGCTCTCTTGCTGTAGTGTCCAGCGAGAGGCAAGGCCAGCTTTCCCAGGGCCACCGAAGGGCAGGGCCAGCTCAGCATGGCCCTCTGATTTGACACAGGCCACAGACATCAACACAGACCTCAGCTGAAGCTGGACCACGGACCCAGACATGGCCCTCAGCAGCAGCTTGGGCCTGGATGACATCCAGGCTTTGGGTGGAAAGAATGGCCACTCAGGTGGGGATGGTTCTAGCGTCCACATGGCCACCGGACACAACCAAAGCTTCAGGTTGCTGCCCCAACCCTGGGTCTCTATGTGACCTTTGGTGGTCATACAGGACCTGGACTTCAGCACAGACCCCAGCTACAGTAGGACCATGGACCCCAACATGGTCCCTGGCAGCAGCTGGGTCTGAATGTCACCACTGCCCCAGCGGCAGTGTGGCCCTAAGACACCAACAGGGCCTCAATCTCGAGTGTCTTTACAGCCTACGATGGTAACAGGAGCATTGGACATCAGCACAGACCCTAGCTGCAGTAGGGCCACGGATGCTGACATGGCCCTCATGTGCAGCTCTGGTGGATGTCACCATGATATTGAATAGCAGCGCAGATCACTCAGTTCTGCATGCATCCTAACCCTTGGACACCAACCTGGACTCGGGGGGCTGATCTGACCCTAGGCATCCAAATGGCACTCAGGGGCAACTGGAGCCACATACATCAATCTGGACCCTGACCACTATAGGGCCGTAGACCCAAACACAGCCCTTGGTAGCAGCCTGGGCCCAAATGACACCATGGCCCCAGGTGGCAGCAGAGGCCACCCATATCTGTATGGCCCCTGCTATGGCATGGCCCCCAGGCTCCAATCACGCTGCAGACTCCGGCCCTAATGGCAACCTGGGCCACAGACTTCAACACAGACCCCAGCTGCAGCTGGACTACAGACCCAGACATGACCTCAGGAAGCAACTTGGCCTGGTCGACATCCTAGCTCCCAGCGGTAGCCCAGCCACTCAGATCAAGATGGCTCTGGCAGCAGCATGGCCCCTGGACACCAACAAGGCCACAGGTTGCAGCCCAGACCCCAGGCTTCATGTGGCCTTTGGTGGGAACATGGGCCATGGACATCCCCAGAGACTTTGGCTTCAGTAAGACCATCAACCTAGACATGGTCCTCGGCAGCAGCCTGGATGTGGTTGTCACCACGACCCCAGGTGGCGGTAAAGACCACCCAGATTGACACAGCCCCAGCGTCAGCATGGCCCTCGGACCCAAACATGGCCCCAGCCCACTGGAGTCAGCATGGCACTGGACAGCAACAGGAACCATGGACATCAACACGGACCCTGGCTTCTGTAGGACCAGGAACCCAGACATGGCCCTTAGCAGCAGCCCAGCCTGGACATCACCATGGCCCCAGATGGCAAGCAGGCCTCCAACATCTGCCCACTCCTTGCCGTCTTCATTTCTTCCTTTCTACGTCTTTCCACGGCTCATGAACCATTCCACTTCTCTCTCTCTCTCTCTCTCTCTCTCTCTCTCTCTCTCTCTCTCTCTCTCTCTCTCCCACTTCACCACTTATTTCCTTATCATAAGACCCACATGCCAGGAGCCATAGGTGCCAGGAGGGCCTTGAGGACCCCGGCTGGCTAGTCCCTGTCTGAGCCCCAAATCTAAAATTTTTGAACACTAACATCCCTACAAGCACTGGCAGCGTGTATTAGTTAGTCTCTCACTGCTGTGACAAAACCCCGTGGCAAAGCAACTTAAGGGGCTAAAGACAGCTTCCTAGGGAAGGTGCTTGCTGTACAAGCGTGAGAAACTGAGTTTCATTCCCACATAAAAAAGCCGGATGTGGTCACATGTGTCCGTAACCCCAGCACTGGGGAGGCAGAGGCAAGCAGATCTCTGGGACTTGATGGTCATCAGCCTAGCCCAAGGGATGAGCCCCAGGTCCTGATGAGAGAGACCCTGTCTCAAATAACAAGGCTCCTGAGAAGCAACATCAGAGGTTGACCTGGGAAACACACACAACACACACACACACACACACACACACACACACACACACACACACACACACACACACAAAATGAGAAAGGAAGAGTTTATTTTGGCTCATTATTTGGGAGGATGCAGTCCGTCATGACTGGGAAGGCCTGGTGAGGGCGTGTAGACAGCTGGTCCCATTGCATCTGTCATTAGAGAGAGAGTTGAAAGCCAGTCTACTCACTAGGTTCTTCAGGACCCCATCTAAGCATGCTTAGACTTCACTTTCTTCAGTTAAACCTCCCTGGAAGCACCTTTACAGTCATACCCAAAGGTGCATGTCCTCGTAACTCCAAATCCAGTCAAGATGAAGGGGTTTCAGAGCTAGACTCTTTAGATGGGTGCTACATATACCTGGTGCAACATTTCCAAGTCCTAAAACGTCTAAAATCTGAAATATTTTTGATCCCATTTTTTGAAAAAGAATGTTCACCCTTACTTGTGTGATAGCATTCAGAGACTGAGGGTGGAAAAGTCCCCAGAGAGAGGAAGAAGATTCAGGGCCGTGATGGGGGAGCCACCTGACTCAGGAGAAAGAGACAGGACCCCTTGTCAGCACCTGTGGTGGCAGCTGGGCTCTGGTGACCTCGGCTTCTGCTGATCACGCTCCTGAGAACAAAGTCGGTCGGTCCCCTGAGAGTTCAGGACACTGGCTGCCAGGAATCGGAGCTTTCCACTCTTTCCTAGCTCCTAGCTGCAGATCAGATTCCAGTAGCTAGGCCCTGCCCCATGAGACCTCCTGCAACCCCGGGATGAGGTGGGAGAGAGAGGGCTGCTGTGGCCGGAAGTCGAGGGTGCCTGTCTGTGGCCCCGGCAGCATCTGAGCTGTGTCTCTGTCCCCACAGTGAATGGATACCACGCATCAGGGACCCCGGCGCACCCTCCAGAGACTGCCCACATGAGTCTCCGAAAATCCACCGGTGATTCCCAGGTAAGGGGCTGCCAAGGGAGGTAGGGGCAGCTGAGTGTCTAGCTTAGGAAGGATACATTTGGGAGTCAGGGAGTACGGCCCTTTTCTGCCCTTAGTGGAAAGTATCCCTGGGGTGCCCTGACAGTTCTTGTTGAAGGATGGGTTGCAGAATTGCAGTTCATTGGTTTTCTAAAAATCAAGGGAAATTTGGGACAGGAGGTAATGGATTATAATTGTCAGGGCAGAGAGATCCACTCTGTTTCCCACAAATCCAATAGAGTCCAGTTTTCCTGTCAAGTTAGCAGTATGAGCCAGCCAGGCCATTGTCCATTAGTCCTCTGCTGTGCCCATCCTCAGTCACCCAGAATGGAATTTAGGAAAATGTGACCATCTCATTCACCAGCCCAGCATAAACACGCCTGTAGGATGCAAAGAATTTGCATGTGTCTTTATTTTTGAGTCAGGGTCTTATGTAGCCGAGGATGCCCCCTAGTTTTTGATCCTCCTGTCTCCAAGTCCCAAGTGCTAGGATCACAGGCATGCACCGCCATACCCACCTGGGAATATGTTTTAAGATTCTCAAACTGCTGTCTCATTCGCCATCCAAACTCACACGTGTGACATCATAAGATGGGTATCGACAGCATTCTCAGGAGCATGGGACCACAGAGGAACAAGCTCATGAGATTAAGGGTCATGGTGGACCCAATCAAATATCCTATGATTTCCTTATTTGTAAGAAGCTGCATCTAAGCGGTGGGGGGGGGGGGGGATAGTCTCCTCACAAATTAAGAGTTTCTTAAGGAAACTTCCAAGCCCTGTCCTACTTTCTCAGGAATGGATGTGGCAGCTTACAGGGGGTGATGGTGATGATGGCTGATGGCCATGATGGTAATACTGCTGAGAACAATAGCTGTATGTGCGGTGGCCTCTGCATGGTCACTGAAGGAAAGACCCTGTGCTCTGTGAGTGCCATCAGCTAAGGTGTGACGACAGCCAGCTTCCATGCAGCAAAGGGTGTCGAGTTTGGAAGCTCTCAGGGGGCTTGGAGCCCAGATTCAGAAAACTGTGGCAGAGAACTCTGTGAGGCTGGCCTTTCAAGTCGCCTGCCTCTTGGATAGCATCTGATGTGAGCAGGGTGAGCATTCCCAGCCAGCCCCCAGATGCCAATAATGGTGCTGCTACTGGAGACCATGTCTGGCTAGTGGGGATCGAGGCTTCGTTAACAGTACACAGGGCTGTGTCTGACGCCCTCAAATCCCTGCTCACATCACTTGTCATCACTTACCATCAATCAACCCTGACTTTGCGTGTCCTGTTGAGTCACCAAGAGGCTTCTCCATGAGCCGATCAGTGTGGTGGAAGGGAAAACGGCTTGTCATCTGACTTGAGAGTGTTTCTGAAGACACGAGCCTGTCCTGCTGCAGTTGAACCACAATAAAACCATGCTGCTACCCCAGAGTCTTGAGGAAGGACACTGGAAACAGCTCCCCATTCTTCCTTCCCCACTGAGATGTGACTCCCCTGGCCTCCAGAAGTACTGTGAAGCTCCCACTCAACCATTTAAGACATGCGTGCTTCTGGGGCAGCTTAGAATATGGAAGCTAATTTAACAGTGTGCTGTGGGCCTTGGACAGAAGAAATCCTCCTCCTATATCTGTTCTTGGAATATACTCAGAGATTTATATGTATTCATACAAGCATTATTTATACCCCTTCAACACTGGACCCAATCTGACTGTCCAACAACAGGGCATGGTCAAAATGACTTCTTGTGCTGAATATCCAGCCAGTCGGTGATATTACACAGCCCTTAAAAAACCTTCCCCTGAAGAAAATGTAATGACTCGGGAAATGCTTCTAACTTAAATCAAGTGGGAGGGCTGGAGAGATGGCCCGGTGACTAAAAGTGTACTGTTCTTCCAGAGGACCTGAGTTCAATTCCAAGCACCCACAACAGGCAGCTCACCTCAGCCTGTAATTCTTTTTTTTTTGTTTGTTTGTTTGTTTTTTGTTTTGTTTTGTTTTGTTTTCGAGACAGGGTTTCTCTGTGTAGATTTGCGCCTTTCCTGGAACTCACTTGGTAGCCCAGGCTGGCCTCGAACTCACAGAGATCCGCCTGGCTCTGCCTCCCGAGTGCTGGGATTAAAGGCGTGTGCCACCACCACCGCCCGGCTCTCAGCCTGTAATTCTAACAGCTAGAGTTACTAGAGTCTAGCTCCAAGGAATGGCACCCTCCTCTTACCTCCATGAGAACCTGTACTCATGTGTGCATGTGTGTGTGCATCTGTGTGTGCATGTGCATGAGTAAGGGGATACAGGTCTATTTAGAAGAAGGAAAACTGAGCTGAGAGGAAGGAAGGCCAGGTGGTCTGTAATGGCCTAACTGCATCTGAGCCTCAGTTTCTCCGTTGGAGACATTTGATGACATCTTTGATTTTGATTGCTACCACTGGAGATGGGGTGTTGATGCATCTAGTGAGTAGGATGCAAGGAATGTGGCTCACTGTTGTGCAGTGGGCAGGACAGCTCCTTCAGCAAGACACTGCTAGTTTAAAAATACGAATCACATCGAGGTTGCAAGAGCTTGATCAGAGAACATGAATCATTTTTGTTTTGTTTCTACTTTCTTCAGGTTTCCTAAGATCAACACATTTTTACTTCTATAAAAGACAGACATACTTTTTTATTTAAGAGAATGAAATTTGGCTGCTGGAGAGACAGGCCAGATGGCGGCGTGCTTATTGCGCAAGTCTGAAGACCCGAGTCCAATTCCCAGCACCCATAGAAAAGGCAGGCCATGGTGGTGATCTTGTAATCCTAGGGAAGACAGGGTGATCAGTGGGGTTCACTGGCCAGACTGCCTGGCATAGTCGGTGAGCACTAGGGTAATGACAGGCCCTGTCTCAGAGAACAAAGCAGAGAATAATTGGGATTGACCCCTGCCACACCCCATGTATGCTCACGTGTGCGTGTGTGTGTGTGTGTGTGTGTGTGTGTGTGTGTTGGTAAGGGTGTGTGGTGCTGGGTTTCCTGGGAAAGCCATCTCCAAGGCCCAGGCCTGGTAGACAGTGACTGCTACACGCAGGCAGGTTAGCAGAATATTCTTTTTGGATGATAACCCTGAAGTTAAGGCCTCATCAAAGAAATAAAAATAAACAGTGTAGTATACATAGAAAGGGTAAATGTGCACCTACTCCCTGCCTCCCAGAACTGTAAAGTAGATCCTTTAGGATTCTTTTAGGCTATGAAAAGACACTATTTGAACATGGAAGCGACTACTTTTTAATCTGTGTGTGAACCTCTGAAGCTAAGTATCAAAAGAGCTCTAAAGGCTAACTGTAATTAGGTTGAGAGAGTCTCCCTTTAAAGACAGTAGGACCCAGAAGACATTTATGCATACGCAGCATTCTTCAATATACAGGGGGTTTACTCTCCATCCCAGGCTGTCAATCATAACTCACAATTGCTCTTGATGATAACTGAGGACTGGGGACATGGCTCAGTGGCAGAGTACTTACCTACTGTATCCAAGACCCAGGGTTCAGTCTCTAGCATGTGCATACATGTGGACAATATTTGAGATCTGGGTGAATGAAGGGCCACTTGACCATTTGAGAGGCAGAATTTGGGGTCATAATGACCAAGCCCAGATTTGCAAAGTACCTGCTGGCTTCTCTCTCTTTGATCAGGTGAATGAGAAAGAACAGTAGCGGAGAGGGGCAGGCACATCTAATGTCCCTACCATTCTGTGTCATAAATAGGACCCATGGCAGGGTGCTCTCCTGCTTTCTCCATTGCCTACTCTTGTGAGACCTGGGTGGCTGGGCACAGGTGGTGGTGGTCTGGTGCCGCCCAGTGGACAGCTTCAGTACTGCAGTCATCAAGAGCGCTACCTCCTGAGTCCTGGATAAATAAATAGGCACCTTCCTGGTTGGGAAAGAGCCCAGGGGTTAACAGCCTTGCCAACCTCGGTGGGAAGCAAATCCTAGCTTATGCATTCTTTTCCTGCACACCTTTACCTGGGCTTTCTTGTTATCCATCTTTCCACTATTCTGGCTTCATGACTACCCCAGAAGACACAGAAGAAAAGAGGAGAGGGACTCAGGACTGAGGGCATGGGCACCTAACAGGATGCGTTGAAGAATGCAGTTTAAGTGGAGAAAGAGCTGAGCTTCTACATCTCTGCACTCCTTCCCCAGGCCTTTACTTCAGTAATGCATGCCCCATTGCGCGTGTGTAGGTCTTTGCTAGGCTCCGAGGTAGAGAAAGGCTCAGCCCTTAGCTGCGGGAGGACAATGGGTCAACAGATGTGTGGTTTCGTCATCAGTGGTGAGGCAGGAGGAAGTGTGCACGGTGAGAAGCCAGACTCGCGGTGCTGAAGGCGGCAGTAATGGGCTTCTTAAGAAAAGATGCTGGGCTAGAGTGGAAGCCGGCACAAAGGGTTGGTTGACAGAAAGATGGGGGGAGGGAATGGTGTTCCAGACAGAGGGGACAGCATGTAGATGCCTAGAGGCAGGAAGGAGGGTGAAGCTTTCAAAGAACCCATAGAAGCCAAGTATGGGTCATGTGACTTACTAAATCAGCGGGTGTAGGAGGGCAGAAGATGGGGCCAGAGGGGTCTGCATGGACCATCACAAGGAGCCCAGGTTTATGCCAACAGTGTTGGGAACTGAAGAGGCTTTTCCTATCGGAAACCCCTGCCAAAGGCACAGGATCTAGGAGGTCCTTGAGGAGGCGTGTGCTAAAACGACCCTTGGAAGAGGGACTGTTAGCCTGATCGTGAAGCCACTCACAGCTGAGCAAGTAGTGTGTGCTCTTGGTGACGACAGAGTTAGCTGTTCAGGTACAGTCAGGACACTGGGACGTGGAAGTGGCAGTTCGACCAAAATGGAGAAGAGTCAGGCAAGCAATGCACAAACCCGGAGGATCACCCAGTCTCTAGTTCAAGGCTAGCCTGGGCTACAGAGTGAGCTCCGGATCCAGAAAAAAAAAAAATTTACAAAAAGGAGAATTCTTTGGAGTCATGGGCAAAGGACAAAATGCGAAAATATCTACTGTAGGGTTTTGTAAACTTATGAAAGTTGAGGGCCTTCTGTGACAAAGTCCCATGGACCTATCACATCATCGGCAATTAGGCCAGTGTTGGTTCATGAATGGTCTCATCCTGCCTCAACACCTCCACCCTTTACTGGTGGAAAAAGTAAAACTCCTGATTTAGTGCTTAAGAACCCCCAACCATGCGTTTATTTTTCTTGCTACTTTGTAACTGTAACTTTGCTACTGAGCAGTGTCTCCGATCCTAGGACCTATGTCCTAAGAAATATGTCTTTTCTGATGGTCGTGACCCACACACAGGTTGAGAACCTCTGTTCTAAATGCAGGTGTTTCTAATTGTAAATCAAATGGGAAGGATATCAAAGCACCGTTACCACACCCATGAAAACACCAGTCGGATAACATCACCGTATACATCCCACAGTCCAATTCTCTAGTGATCCCTAAAATGCTGTTTTACACCTGCTTTTCTTCCCGGTCCAGGATCCATTTCATGAAAATGTTGGTGACTTTGTCTCTTTAGCCTCTGTCTCTCTCTATCTTTGTCTGTCTGTCTGTCCATCCACCTCTCTCTCTCTCTCAAACACAGCTTTGTTGCGATGCAACTAATTATTATGTAGTTCCATCATTTAAGACGCAGTCTGGGGCTGCAGCTCAGAACGATAGAAGAGAGAGATCAATTCCCAGGCTGGTGAAAGAGAGAGAGGGAGAGAGGAGGGTGGGGCCAGGGGAGCTGGGGGGGCGGGGTGTCAGCAGGCAATTCACCAATTGTTTTTAGTGTGCTCATGGTTGTACATCCTTCATCACAATGAATTTTAGAGAGCGTGCATCCCTCCTAAGCCTCCCCGAAGCCTTGGGCTGTCACTAGCCTACTTTCTGACTCCAGACTGTCTTTTTATGGTGTTTTATCTGCGGGAAGGTCAGCTGTAGGTGGTCCTCAGTGGCTGATGGCTTTCACTCAGGATGTTTTTGATGTCTGTGTTCAGTGTGCTCAACTCTCTTTCCTACAGGTGAACGGTATGCCATGATATGGCCAGGTTCGGCATCTCGCTTGCTTCAACTTCTTTGTCTAGGCCGATGTCCCAGGGTTTTTCTTTCGCCTGCCCTCGCCACTGACTTCTAGTTTATGTTTTGAAAACTCCGGGTCATTGTCTTGTAGGCCGACCTACATTCTTAATCTGTTCGCTTTCTTGTGCTTAGACCCCAAGCTTGGGGTTTGACAGGATCATGGTAGGGGGTGAGCTGCCTGCTGCCTGGGGCGTCACTGGGGAGACACGCTTGAAGGTCTGGGCCCTGCCGGGGAGGCTCTGAGTCACTGTAATAACTACTAGATTTATTTCACTCATTTCCCTTTCTGATTGGTCAGTAGCCTGCAGGGCACTAGTGTGACACTGTGTGACTGTCCAGCCTCCTGACAGTCTTCTCTGTTTTTAGTATCTGTGACAATAACAGTCTAAACCCCTTTGACACTGGGATTTCCAAGCAGTGAACTCTATGTACATTTTCATGGGTGTTCTTCTGGAATGGCATGTTCCCTCTGCCCACTGTGGAGTGAGTCCATTGTGGTCATTATTCCTACTGAGCTCAGGTGCCCGCCCCCACTGTGACCTATGGGGGGGGGTCATCTTTAGACCAGCTCCTTTGCCCTTTCGTTATATCTCCATCCTTATTTGAATTCTCCTGTGTTTGTTGGCACAGTAAGATGCTGTGTTTCTAGGAACCTGCATTCCTCTCCGTGGGGAATTACAAAAGCCACCACTAGAGGGCGACTCTTGTAGGGTTTCTTGCCTCCTAGTCTCTCACACCTCCAGTAACAGCAGCCATATACAGACTGTGTCCAAGGCCCCTTGCCCTCTGGCTGCCCACGACCAATCCTGGACTGCAGTAGGCACACAAGGATGGTGGCAGCATAATGTTGGTCCCTGACAGGGAGACTTGCAAAGAAGAGAATCTAGCCCTGGGGTGGGACAGCTCCTTTCTTGGCAGGTATAGGCTTGGCCAGTGCCTCTGTAGGGACCTTGTCCCGCCTTTTCCTGATGACTGGCACCCAGGGCTCTTGTTGTGCGTCCTCTGCTTGTCTTCTGCCATGGGCACTTTTAATGAATGTCCCAGAGAGGAAATGGTAGCTTGGAAGGGTACAGGCCAGGCCAGGTGGATACATATGGAAGCTATAGTTGGCCATAAGCTTGACATCATCCATAGCCTGTCAGGGTGGCTGAGGAGCTGCTGTAAGCAGAGGTGCCTGGATAAAGTGATTGAAGTGGTCAGGTGCCAGTGAAGTGCCCAGCTGCTCAGGGTGGGCTGCCTAGAGCTGTGTGAGAACCAGTGATGGTGGTCCATTTTACAGATGGGAACCCTGAGGTTCCAAGAAGTCAGTTCCATGGCCTTCATCTCAAAGCTAGTCATGCATGAAATGGATGCTCCTTAAAGTTGTTTTTCAACAAGACCTCCAAGGATGTGAGTTTTCTCTGAAAACTCTTTACCAGCCAGAGCAAGGCAGAGAGGCTGTACATTGGAAGGGTCTGTGGCGAGCTCCATTTGGTCTGGCTTGCTGATGGCTTCCTGAAGCAGGAGCAACCTGCCCACAGGTGCTCACCTTGCCAGGGTCCAGGTTATATCTTGAAGATGGATGAAATCATCTGTCTTCCCTGTGGCTCACTGGTAAAGACCTTCATACTTTTGGACCCATGCCAGCCCCAGAACACATACAGAGTGGTCACCCATGGTGCCTCACGGGTGCTGTTTTTAAGGGCATCGTGGGACCCAAGACAAGTGACATCTCAGAATTCTGTCTAGGGAGCCATGGAGTTGAATCCTGAGCATAACTGCTAAAGTCTCAGGACTGAACATTGTCTCACGTTAAATGTGACTTTTTTTAAAGCTGGCCATTCTTGGCCATATCAACAAACACAGTCATGGAACTCTGGCCATCACCTGTGGGTACAGAGGTAATCAGGACTCCAGTTTGGTTTTTGTTTTTTGCTGACAATGGGGACAATATAAAAAGTCACTCCAGAAGGATTCTCTGCTTGTGAGAAATCACCGTGACTCCCGGGTGCCAGCACAGTGGCGCATTGCCAAGGTGGCTGAGCACGCATTCACCATTTGATGTTACGGACTCAGGGGGTTCAGAATGAGATGTCATGTGCTGAGTCTTCTGTGCCGGGGTTGGGGGGGTGGGGTGGCCTACAATCTGCCTTAACTCTCTGTTCCCCTGCCATTCCACTCCTCTGCTTTGGCAATGTGGTCTGGTTACCAGCAGAGGGCAGCGGAGGGGTTAACTCCCCCAAATCCCAGTTGGAAAGGAGAGGAGGGGAGACCTGGTTTGCTTTGGTTCCCCGGAGCCTGAACTCAGCCTTTCTCCACTTTGCCTGGAGCCTGAGCATTCTGAAGCAGCTTGGGCTCTAAGATGCACTTGCCTGCCCTGGCCCAGAACACGGTGACTCAGGAGTTAACCGCAGGCTGACACCCCTGAACTTCCCCAGCTCAGGGTTCTTAACCAATCCCTCCACCCACCTGGGGAACGAGAATGGGAAAAAAGATGTCCAACATGGAGAACAGCTTTGATGATGTGTCTCACCTCTCTCCCCAGAACCTGGGATCCTCGTCGCCAGGCAAAAAGCAGAGCAAGGAAAACACCATCACTGTAAGTGCCTCACTGTTGGTGGGGAGGGCTCCAGGGCTGGGGTTTTGGGCCACAACTGGGCTGTTGCCGTGGCAACATGGAACGACAACCAGCATCAATGCTCACTAGGAAACAGAGAAGTTCCAGCCAAAGCTTGGTTTAGCTGAAGTTGCCCCTGTCCCCTCCCTCTGTTAATTTCCCATTTTGATTGCCCTCCCCTGATGAAGGGGTGGAGGGCAGGAGGCTGTAAGGGCAGGAATGCGCCTTCTGTGTGGTGGGCAGGAGAAGGTGCCTGTGGGGGAGCAAGTTGAAGGGGGTGGAGTGTGCTGTGTGCAGAGATGTGACATGGAAATTACAGCCACCACAGGGCTGCTTTTGTGCAGCGAAGTTTCTGGAAGACGTCAAAGTTAAAAGCAAGAAATAACTCCCTACAAATAGCATTTCTGGGAGTCCCTGGTGAGAAGCTCCTGTCCAAACTCTCAGGGATCCCCCCAGTGCCAGCCAGATACCTCTGTGGGTATGGAGTATGGACCCCAACTCCTCCCTTCCCACCCCGTGATGCGCTGGGGCCAGGACATCTCTGCCCTCAACTCTTAAGGAGGGAGCTACCTAGATTCTTAGGCAACAACCCAGAGAGTTGAGAAGTGAGGTCTATGGAAATTTGCTATCCTAGCTCCAGTATGGAGGAGACACAGACAGGGACTGAATATCTTTTGCTCCTTGTCACCCTGTTCTGAGCTGTTCTGACCACCTCTCCAAAAATAAAAACCCAAATGGGTGCATCGCTGGGGTTATCCAGGTGAACCATCCTACCTTGTAGGGAAGAGAGAGCCAAACAAACAGTAATAGCAACCGTGATACCTGCTGCCACCTTGGTGCCCACATGGTACACACCAGGACGGCTCCATTTGCTTCCTGCTCTGTGAGCTGTGGTTCACAGAATCAACCCTCCAGAGTGATTTTTACACCTGGACTCTGAAGCCAGAGTGTCACTTATGTCACTCACAAAGCTGTGCCAAAGTTTGAGCAAGTTTCCCAGCCTCGAGTGGTGCCTGTTTTTCCAAAGCAGGGAAGCGAGGACTTCAGCGATGGGGGAGTGGGATCTAAAACGAATTGGTCCATAACTGTAAAGCACCTAGAACAGAGCCCAGCACACACTTTGTGCTCGATATGCATTAGTGTGATCATTGCAGTGTATCAGACAAGGAAGCCGGAACACACAGTGGTGCCAGGCCCAAGCTCACCTAGCTAGGAACCTTCAAGATTCAAACACTCAGCTCTTGCCCACTGGCAATGCCCGTCCTGAGCTGGCTTAGGTCCCTCAGGCCATCACCCTGCCTTGACCCTCCTTGGGTCTCCTGGAAACTGGGCAGGGCAGCTCAGCCTGCTGCAACCCTGCAGCAGCCACAGCTTCTCTTTCTAGAGAGTCTAGAGGAACCTGGCGTGGCATAGGCTGACCTAGGTTCAGGCTTCGGAGGGCACGGTCCCTAGCTTCACATTGCTACTAAATGCTGCAGAATTTGGAAGCAAGAGGAGAGCTCCTCAGAACCACTAGAAAGGAGGAGAAAGGAAGGAAAGAAAATGAGAGGGAGACACATCTTCACATCCTGGAAGCAAACATCGGAAGTGGAGAGTGGTGGGCAGTGTTGTGCTGGCCAGTTGTCGTAAAAGCACGCAGTGACGGAACCCAGCCGCAGAGTCAGGCCACTGCTGGGTCCTTGCAGTCAGAGCTTCGGAGTATGGCCCCGAGCTTTCCACCGGATGGCACACCTTGTCATCCTGCCTGGTCCTTCCCTCTGGCCTACATCAACACATCTCCCGAGATGGTCTGTAGCATGCAGCTGATAGTCAAGGCTCCTGAGACACTGTTTAGGGTGTGAGTTCCTGAAAATCATCTGTAGTTTGTCTCTCTGGGGGCAAGGACAGAAAACCACATTTCTGTCCACACTCCTGGAGGTTTGATGTGAGTGCTCACACCTTGGAGAACTGTTGCTGGGGAAACTGAGCAAAGGAGGGAGTGGCTACAGGTCACACAGCAAGTGAGAAAGAAAACCAAAGGCTCGAACCCAGGACTCCCTACTGCCAACCTGGGTGCTTGCCCATGCACCCCTTGGATACTCTAACCCCTCATCCCTTCAGGCTGAAGACCTGAACCATTCTTCACACGGTGTTCTGTCTCCATACCCTAGCTCCAAGTTCAAACCCTACAGAGCTCAGCACTTCTTCAGGAGTTGGAATGGCTCTGTTCCTAGAAGGCTGAGACACCCCCTTCCTGATCTCAGGGAATACGGAATATGGTGAACAATTTCCACGCTGTCTGATCTGGGAGGCAGCCGTGGCCAGGCCTTGCCAGTGCAGGGTGCACATCCTCAGTCAAGGAGCGAGGACAGAGCTGCATCTGACGTTCAGTGGCCCAGAGCTAGTTTAGGAGAGCAGGCACATGGGCGCTCTGGCAGCAGTGGCAGGGCTGGCAGCCATGCCTGGGTCACGTTCCTGGCTCTCAGCAGTGCTGGGCCGGCAGGTGGAGGGGGGGTGGCGGTGCTGTTTGATTAAGAGTGACAGGCATTAATGGCCGCTCACTGCCCTCGGCACACACTTGACACATCAAGATATAGAGGATTCGAGCGACGATGACAGGGAAGGCACCAGGCACAGTCTCCTGGAAGGAGGAATTAGAGGACCTTGTGGTCCTCAGCTTGGATGCCCAGCAGAACCTGTCTGGAGGCATGGCATCCCAAGAGGGAACTTGTGGCTGGAGGAGAGCCCATGGGGTCCTTTCCTGTCCTCTCACTTTCCTGGATCAGGGTCATGCAGAGTCCTTAGCTGCCGCCTGGGTTACCTTAGCTGTAAGGCTGGAAGGAAACTATCATCCTGCCCCCCACCCCACCCCCTGAACACAGACTATGCTGCCCTACAATGAGAGCAGGTGCCCCAGCCTCCCACAGCAGCCCCTCGGGTGGGTCATGCATGTGTCCTTCATCCCTGGTGGCCCAGCTAGATGCTTTACCAGCTGCTGCCGCCTCCTTTGTACCTTCAGTGAATGTCTGAGAACAAACCTCATGATCCTGCAGAGCGCCTTAGTCAAGCCATCGCTGAATAGGAAGCTTCCCGTCCATTAGGGTGGGACAGGGGTGTTTCCCCATGTGGCTGTTCCTGAGACTGGGGATCCCAGGAGGAGACAGCAGAAGTGGCCATAACACACACACACACACACACACACACACACACACACACACACACCTGACAGGCACACCCCTCTTCTGCTTCTTGCTCAACAACTGCCTTTGGCATGAGCAGGACACAGCTACATTGCCCCAGAGTGTTAGACCAGTCGTGTATTGACAGGGCTTAGGATCCTAGTCTGGGCCCAGAGTCCTAGTCTGGATTCAGGCCATGGCTCTACTACTACATAGGAGCTCTGTGTTCTGGGTTAAGTTACTTAACTTCTCTGTGCTTCAGTGCCTTGCATGGCTGTTATGAGGACTGCATGAATTCACACGTGGCAAGACTCGGCACATGATTAGAGCTTGCTGAGCATAAAGTAGATCCCCGGGCTGTCTTCTGTGCAGCAACAGGAGGGACTGAGGTTCTCACTGTTCCCAGCAGGCTTTTGGAGGAGACACACCTTTCCTCAAGGGTGCCGCCGCCACCATACATTCCTAGCAACTGCCTGGAAATAAATCACCAGGAGGGAAAGGGAGGAATCTGCCCATGGAGGTACCCATGGAGAAAGACACGCCCCACTTTCTCTTCCTTCTTGGAGTACTGTGGCCCTGCTAATGGAGCCTTGTGGTTCAGGGACACAAGCACCTGGCTGTGAGGCCTGAAGGTCACAGAGGGGTAGGGTCAGCATGAGAATGATGGATCAGTACTTGGGAGACCAGCTCCGGACCCTCTCATGCCACTCTAGCTGCCTGACAGTGGCCCGTCAGCCTCTGTGCCTCAGTTTCCTCCCCTGTGTGTGTTTGCACCACTGTGGCAGGTGGACATTTTTGCTCTGATTGCTTACTGGGCATGATTTCACGACACTGCGCTCATGATACCCTCTGCTGCTGAAGCTTCCTGCTCTCCAGAATCCATTGTCTCCCTCCTTATAACCCAGGCTACAGGGACACACTTGCACTCAGGCCAGGCTCCTCACATTCTTTCCTTGGCACTGTTGGCGTTTGGGGTCAAGGGCAGTCCTGAGCCTTTCCCTCCTGGGGCCACAGTCATCTTCTTTCAGCTCTCCAAACTGTGCAGCCTCCACCATGTGGGGCTGAGAACCCAGAGAGCATCGTCAGGTCCATGTCACACTAGAAGCAGACACTTGGTGGCTAACTGTCTTCAGCACAGACATCTGAACATCTGCCAGAGCCCCTCTTGCTTCTGAGCCAAACTCAACATGCATTGTGTGAACATACAACACACACACAAACACACACACACACACACACACACACACACACACACACACACACACACACACATTCGTCCTTGCACATGGAGGCATACACACAGACCCCCTGAAATACCCTTTCCTCTCCCAGCCTGTTTGCTTAGATCTTCCTCAAGTACCACTCCATCTAAGCACCCCCAGCCCTTCCTGTGGCTTCAGCATCCTGCGCCTCCCCTAATGAGAGGTTTATCCCAAGGACCATCCTCCCTTAATTATCAAGCTCTTGAGAACAGATGCTGTACCTCAGACCTAGTTCCCTGTCACTGCAATAACCCACAGTTTGCCTGATGTGCCAGGAGCTAGGAAAACCCTAGGATAGGATGGTCTCCATCCCGCCACCTGCCCTCACGGGCAAGCTGTCAGCAAGGAAGGGAAGGTTAAAAAAAAAAAAAGCATCAAAATTACAACACAGATGTGTGTGTGCAGGATAATGGGGAGACTCAGTGTAGCAGGAAAACCCAGCGTGGCACATGCCATGGAGGAGTAATCTGGTAAACATGCAGCTCTGCCGCCCGCCTGACCTGGATTTGAACACTTCTGTGATCTGATTTCCTCAGCGTTGTGCACTTCTCGACATGACCACCAGGGGGAGAAGGGCTCTGAGGATTCCAGGAAGTCCCAGTGGGCTAACCCAAATCAGAAGTGACAGAGGCAGTGACAGGCACCCCGGGGCTCCTGACTGGGGCATCTGCGAACTAATATCCTCAGAGTGGCAGGAGCATCAAGAGTCCACAGCTCCCCCCACCTCCCCACCTTCACTCCTCCCAGCCCCCATCCTTCCATGGCTGTTCCAGGGCCATTTGAGGGGCTCTCGCCTACTAGACCCCAAACCTTCTAGTCCCTGCTGTAGGTATCACTCTGGAAGGCTCTATGAGGTGTGAAAGAGCAGGACCCTGGGGCTGTTCATTATTCTATCTTCCACAGGTGGGTGCAGGCCTTCCTTGGGTGGTGCTCCGCCGCTGCAGCCTGCCTTGCAAGTGCTGCTTCTCGCCTGTCATCAGCATCACCTGAGCCCCAGGCCCCACCCACAGCCTCTGATCATACACTCAGGCCAGGCCCACCATCTGCTTAACAACCCCCCACCAGGTGACTCTGAGGACAAAGGAGGGGTTGAATGGGACATAATCAAGCCCTAGCTCTCCCGTAGACCTTCTGTGGTCAACCTCAGAGCCAGCTGAGGATTGCCATTGAAGGGGTTTCCTGTTACTCTCTCCCCTTTGGACTAATGGTGTCTAACTTCTTTTCACGAGCATCCTGGGGTAGACGGGACCAGCCTTTCTCTGGATGTGAGTACTCTCAGGAAGGATGCCAGACGTGGCTAAACAAGACCCATTTTCTGCTAGCCCTGACCCACCATTGGCCAAGCTCCTTCCTTTGTGTCCAAGGCCAAGAGCAATTTGGGTGAAGAGAAAGGAGGAAGGTCTGGGTAGATCATGAGGTTCCTTAGAAATCAGTCCTGCCTACCTTTGAGTACTGTGGCCCTCGCTACAGGTCCGTGCCTGTGAATTCAGCCAGTTGAGGAGCCCACCAACTGCAGGTTGAAAATTGTGTCTGTACTCAATTGTACAACCTTGTTTCTTGCCATTACTCCCTCAGTAGAACAACTACCGAGCTCAAATTACTAAGTATTGTAAGTCTGTGCATGGCAGGAGGGTCTGTATTTATTATATGCAAATACCGTGCCATTTTACCTCTATAAATTTTACCATCCATGTGAAGGCTGAAACCAGTGCCCACCCCTCTACTCCCAGATAGTGAAGGGTAATTGTACCTCAAATCTGTGGGTTCCATGATTCTTTCTTTTATGTATTTGCATAGATGTGTTTGTGTGAGCACAGTTGTGTGTGCACACTCACATGCACGTAGAGACCAGAGGAAGATGTATCTTTCTCTAATACTTCTGCCTAGTTTACTTGAGATAGACTCTCACTAAATCCTGGGCTAGGCTGGCAACCAGCAAGCTCCCAGTAATCCTCCTGTCTCTGAGCCTCATACAGCCATGCCTGACTTGGCGTTGGCACTCCAGGGATTTGAACTCAGATCCTCATGCAGGCCAGCAAGTGCTCTTACCCACTGAGACGCCTCCCCAGCCCTGGTTCTGTGATTCTTAGCACCGGATGACTTTACTGTTAGAAACCATATGTCATTAAATTACATTAAAGCTTTCAGGAAGCAAAATAAAGGTGACTGTCATCACCAGTATGGCTGGAACAGGAACTATTTGGGGGCTCAGCCTCCATACCCTGATTTCATGATGGCCCCAAGCAGCACCCACTCAGTGGGAGGCTGTTGAGGTCCCTAAAGAAGGCTCAGATTAGGACACCTCACAGCAGGGAGGGGGTTCAGCCTAGATCAAGAGCTTGGAGAGACTCTTTCCTGAGGCTAGACCTGAGATGCTACCAGCTCTACCCTGCATCCAGCCCCTAACAGCAGCTGTAGACCAGAAGTCCACACTGAGCTGACTGTGGTAGAATTCAGTGCTGCCCATCTCTAGGGCACTGTGACATCCCTGGCCCCCTTCCCACCATGTCAGCATGCTTCTCCCCCAAACAATCCCCACCTTATCTCGCCAACATCAATGTCCAGGAGCAGGTCTTTCCCTTCTGGCTAGCACTTCTGAGTCTCCTCACCCAGGCCTGTGAGGGCAGCTGCTGCTCTTGGCAGTGGGCAGGCAGGCCGGGTAATGCACCGACTAACACATGTTGTCCTGCCCTTAGGTCAGAGGTCCCAGGGTCTGAGTCAGCTGACGTAGGAGTTTGCTGGTTGTACATGGTGTTTTGGTTTTGTTTTCATTTTAAACTCTGAAATAATTGCCATCACTGAAAACTTGAGACAATTGACATACAGACCCCGAACTCCGGCTCACCTGGAATCAGCTCATAGTCTGATGACATGGAGCAGGAATATGAACCTGACCATGAGATGTGTGTCCACAGCCCGAAGAACCTTCCCAAGGGACAGACTGCTTCCCTCCTGTCCTAGTTGTAGATTCTGGGTCACAGGGGTACCTAGCTGTTTGCATAGCCCTCCTAGGTCAGAGCTTGAGGACAGTCTGCCACCCCGTGGGGTTCCTGGTCGGCACCAGAATACCCCACTTTGGCAGATGGGGAGGTTGAAAGAGGAGGTCATGGTGTAGAGCTGGGCAGTTGAAACCGTATCAACAAAAGCAGCAGCAAAGCCACGCCCACAAAGGGGCAGGGGAAGAGGGGGAGCAGCTAGGAAGGACCACAAACACAGCTGGGAGGGACAGTAGCTCTCACAGCCCAGAAACTTGCACACCACACTCCCCATCATGAGGGCCAGCCCCAAGATTATACCCGCACCCCAGATTATACCTTTAAACTGTGGATGTTCATACCACAGGCATCTCAGTATAACCTCTCACCCTTACCCTCAGGCACTTCTGAGTCAGCCCTGTCCTTGGCTTTTCTTTTTCTTTTTTTTTTTTTTTTGTTTTTTTTTTTTTTTTTCGAGACAGGGTTTCTCTATGTAGTTTTGTGCCTTTCCTGGAACTTGCTTTGTAGACCAGGCTGGCCTCAAACTCACGGAGATCCGCCTGCCTCCGCCTCCCGAGCATTGGGATGAAAGGTGCGCGCCACCACCGCCCGGCTTGTCCTTGGCTTTTCTTAGAAGCGGATTTGGATGCTCATTTCTGGCTTCCAGAATGATCCCACACAGGTTATATCAAACAAGCAGATATTACCCCACTTCTTCATACAAATGGAGCACACTGTGATAACCTAAACTATTCTACACATTGCCTGCTGTGCACCCAGACCCACTCACCACTTAGCAGTGCATCCTGGTACTTTTCCTTATCAATATGGCTAATACTTTATTGCTGTATTGCTTATTTGCTTTTCATATATGTATTCATTGTACATAGTACGGTGTTTTATAAGATCATTTTCATACCAGTACATACTGTGTATTGAGTTAATCATCCCGTGCTTCCTTACCTTCTTCCTCCTTCCTCCCCCTCCCAATAGTTGCCATGTTTCCCTAAACAGTTTGACTTCTGCCTTCATTCATAAATACGTTCATGGACCCTCCATACAATCTCTACAGATGCCTTTTGTGCGTGATACAGGATCTCTTTGTCTAGCCTAGGGTGGCTTTGAATTCCTCAGCCTGCCGCGTCTGCGTCCTGGGAGCTGGGGTTGCAAGTGGCACCACCATTCCTGACTCTCTCATTCTTTATTTACGCATTCCCCTCCTGTTGGACAGTGAGGTTCTGGTCCAGCCTTTTACCGCATAGATAGTGTGCAGTGGAAACCGGGCATACATGGATCTGTAGCAGTCTCTCAAAGCACGGTTGCTGGGTCGCAGGATCTAGCCATTTACAATTGTGATAGATTCTACTAAACACTCACCAACGAGGTTTCCTTCATTGTAGCCTCTAGGATGGGTGTGGAGGCCTGTTACCTCTTATTTGAAGTACTCACTGGCTGCTGGAGCTTGGGAAGGTTGCTGAGGACATTCACCAAAGTGGCCTTGGGGAGGCCTGCTTTGTGCGCCATCCACTTGATCCTGCAGAGACAACATTCTCTTTCTCACTCTGTGCCCCGCAGATCAACTGTGTGACATTCCCTCACCCAGACACAATGCCTGAACAGCAGCTGCTCAAGCCAACTGAGTGGAGCTATTGTGATTACTTCTGGGTAAGTGCTGCCTCAGTTTCCAACATCCACGTGACCCCAACAGCAGCGTACACCTGGGAAGGGTGGAAAGGGCCTCTCTTGTTGAAGCCTCAAGGTGTGGTGTCCGGTTTGGCATCTCAGACAGGACTTTCCCGAATTCTAGATCATCCCAGCAGTCCCAGGGAATCTGTGTGGTTCTCCTTCACAGGAACATAGAAACCACAACCAGAACACCAGGAAGCTGAAAGACAGTTCCCTCCAGTGCTGGACGGAGGCAGGAGACTAGAATTACTTTTAATAACGAAATCTGAGCTCCAGGCCCGCTCGACACCACTGGGAGTGGCCTTGGGCCCACGCTTTGCCTCTTTGCATGTTGCTTTCCCAACTGAATCGTGAGGAAGTTGGGCGCAGACAGGGATGTATAAATTGCCTCTCAGCATCCACAGCTCTCAAGCCCCTGTATATTGCTTAGTGGGTGCAGAGTGGCCTGTTACAAGGTGAGAAGTTTCTGCAGGTGATGGATGGCAGACCGTCACCACCTCAGTCTCCATACACTTAGTGTCGCTAAACTGTGTGTGCACTTAGAAGTGACGGCAACAATAAATCTCACATGATGTATATTTTTCCCACTGTTAAAATGATGCCTTGATGTACATGTAAAATCCCACATCGCAAGTGTCAGAGCTGGTCCAGAGCACTTGCACTTTGAAGGTGCGGTGACACTGACCTTTCTGCAGTTATAGTGCTGAGGGTTCACACCACCTCAACCGTCTATGGAAAATGACTAAATCTCTACAAGGAGCTTTCAGAAAGACCCTAAGGAACAACCAATAAAGAAAACCTCTTTGCACCGTGGCACGGAATGGGTTATCTGCCCTCTTTTTCGATTTGCTAACTACCAGCCCAAAGTGCTTTTTCTTTCTTCTAAATCACGAACCCATTAGAAAGCACACGAAGGTTCCTGGTTGCCCCTGTAGAGAGGTTCCTGCGATTCCCGCTGTCCTGCTTGTAAGATAGAGGGCTGCAGAGGACGTGAAAGCTTTGGGGCCTGTGAGAGATGATCCAGGAGAGACATGTATGCAGTAAGGAGACAGGAAGGTTCTGTAGGCCTGAAGGAAGTTGTGTCTTGTGCTGTCTGTAGCTGGGAGGTATTGAAGGTGTTTTAAGGAAAAATTGGATGTAACCTGCTCTGCGTACGTTGCAGATGAGAATGGAGTATGTGAGGTGAGTGAGTGGACCAGGAAGAATGGTGACAGCAGCAGAATAAAGAGTGGCTGTCCTGTGTGCAGAAGTCATCCTCTGGGCTCTAGGGACCAGGACATGTCCTAGAAGGGAGACAAGAAACTTGTGGGGCTGGGCAGAGCATGCTCTCCTGCCTGCTGTTCACCGGCACCCTGGAGAATCACATAGAGCACCTGTGTCTTTCTTTTGCTTGTCTGGGTTATGTTGAGACAGTCTGGCCACCCTTGTGCATCTGTTTCCCAGTTGTTGGGATTACAGGCGTACACTGCCATGCTCAGTCGAGAATTCTCATCTTAATCTGAGCTCTGGCTCCTGGTCCCTCAGTGGTTTTCCTTTCCTGATTGTCAAGGCCTTTTCCTCTTAATAGAAATGTCTCCTCACTGGCAGAGTCCCTGGAGCACACTGCTCTTGCTGGTTTTTCTTTGAGCCAATGAGTCATTCAGCCTATTTACCCCAGAGGGAGGCAGGGATTGGTTTAGTCTTTTGGGTGATTTCCTTGCCTTTCTTTCAAGATGTAGCATTCACAGAATGAAGTGAACACCTCTTCAGCACCCATAGAGAAACCTCAGGAGGGTATGATGGAGATATAGAAGCCTCAAGAGGGTGTGATGGAGATAGGGAAGCTTCAGGGGGTATGATGGAGATAGGGAGGGTATGATGGAGATAGGGAAGCCTCAGGAGGGTATGATGGAGATAGGGAAGCCTCAGGAGGGTGTGATGGAGATAGGGAAGCCTCAGGAGGGTATGGTGGAGATAGGAAAGCTTCAGTAGGACATGATGGTGGTTTCCCTGCCAGGAAAGGTGTTAGTGGCATGCCCAGAGGTTCTTGGGTCATTGTTGCTGAGGAAAGAGTTTCACTGTGGTCAGGACATGGAAGAGGGCCCATGAAGCCCTTCTCACTGAGAAAGGTTTCTGTAAGCTGCAATGGCTCCCTGGCATGATCTGGAAGGTCTCCCAGAGATGCAGCCCCCTCTCTGATGACTTGGACTTTTGCTTCTTCCTAGGCGGATAAGAAGGACCCGCAAGGCAATGGCACGGTGGCTGGGTTTGAACTGCTGCTGCAGAAGCAACTGAAAGGCAAGCAGATGCAGAAGGAGATGTCCGAGTTCATCCGGGAAAGGTGAGACCAGGACCCATGCAGCTCTAGAGCTGGCCACAAGGCCCACTCTGAGCCCTGGACCCCAGGGGAGGGGCTGGCTGGCCATGCTTAGCCCTGGGGCAGATGTGGCCAGCAAATGTGTGGTGTAGGCATGGATAGTGTTTCTAAAGATTTGAACCAATATCCAAAAATACTGGTAGCCAGGTATAGTGCTTCATACCCATAATCCCAGCATTTGGGAGTTGAAAGAAGGAGGTCAGGAGTTCAAGGCCATCCTCAGTTGTGTAGCAGGTTTATGGCTTGTCTGAACTACATGAGACCTCAATATATATGTTGAGACACATGCACACACACACACACACACACACACACACACACACACACACGCTCACATATTGCACTGAATCTTGGATGCGCGGTATCTCTCAATGCCTGCACAGCCCCTATGCAACAATTGGCTGGAGCTGAGTAGCTGCTGTCCATGGAAGGGACACATGCCTATTTGCCACAGTCTCCACTCCTCCCCACTACCCCCCGACTTGCCGCTTTGCTCCTTTACCCTCATTTGAAGCTGTCCCTTGTCATGAATATGACCTTCCAGGTCTTCTTTTTTACTTGAGACTAAGTTTCTCTGTGTAGCCCTGACTGACCTGGAACTCACTCTCTAGACCAGGCTAGCCTCGGACTCAGAGATCCACCTGCTCTGCCTCCTGAGTGCTGGGACTGGAAGCGTGTGCCAGTCCTGGCCTTCCAGGCCATCTTTTAGTTAAAACTGTTTCCCAGGCCAAGGGACACAGAACCATGCTCCCATCCCACCCCTGCCTCTAAGGATTCCGATAGCCCTGTGTCTGAAGAACTTGGGTCATAGATGAAGATCCAATAAATTCAGCTCAAGGAAAATATGAAAAGCTGCAGCAAAGTCCCCTCTTCATCTTCCTCCTCTCTGTCTCTCTTGTTTCTATCCCTGTATGACCTGCACACCCATGCACAAATATACCTGTACATCCTCAGGCCTGCTCACATACAGGTTTGCATACTCACACATCCTAGCCACTACATGCCCCAACACCTAAATATCTGTGTACCTACATAGCCATGATCAAATCCCCACACAACTACGCATCTGGGCACCTATACTCCACCACACCCCTACATCTTACCCCTATCCCTATATACCTGTGTGCCTGCATACCCACACCCCCATATACCTGCACCCCATGCGACTGCATACCTGTGTACCCGCTTATCTGCATGCTCACACACCTGTACACTCACACATCCCTGTGTACCCACACATCACACCTACACACCCAAGTATCTACATACCCACATCCCTGTGCACAGACAACTGCACATCCATGTACCTGCACACTCACACACCTCTGTGTACACACACCTTCACATATATGCTTCTGCATACCCATACCATTGTGCACCTATACCTGCACACCCATGTACCTGCACACCCACATGCCTGTGCATCCATACCTGAACACATGTGTACACATCTACACACTTGTATACTTGCACACCTATATCACACACATCTGTACATCTACACACCATACACCTGCATACTTACATACTCATCCCCTTACACACTCATACATCTATATACCCACACACCTGCACACACACCCAGCAACTCATTTTTTTCATAAACATATATACAACTTTCCAGCTAGAGTTTCCATGACTTGCTAGAAATATTCTTTGCAAATAGCAAAAATCTTTTAAAAGGTATTTCTTCATTATAACACTAGTAATCGGGTAATAATGCTTTGGCATTTTTAAAGCCTGCTTTTCCTTAGGAGGCCTATTTTCCATTTGTATAATCAAATCTTTATTTTATGACCCATTAAACTAGTAGGAAATTGGAAGGCTGCTTTGCTCAGATGCAAGAAAACAGAAGCATAAAACAGACAAATAGGAAGCAATGGGAGCTGAAGCCTCAATATGCATATGGTTTGCACTCATAACAGTGTCCTGTTGGCAAATGAATGGTTTCTGTCATCTCAGGCCACTGAGGTCTCTGGGAGCCAGTGGAGGGAATTCAAATTCCTGGAGCCTGACTCAGCCCACCTTTGGAGCTCTTGGGGAAGCGATCAGAGGCAGGAGAGCCAGGCCGCAGGGCTGGGACTTACGAGTTTGCTGGACCGAGGGAAGTAGGCAGGAGGTAGGGATGACACAGGCTGGCTCACAGCAGAGGCTCAGGAGGCAGATGGCGTGTGCACCTCCCTCTCCTGGCTCATGCACTTGACCTTGTGGCATCATGAGATCTGCTTTCTGGAGGTCTTGATTCCAGTATGAAGTTGCGGGGTAGAGGTTCACATCGTTGGGGCTGGAGGCAAAGGAGAGATGGAAATGGGTCAGTGGGAAACTCAGGATCTTGCAGACAGGCTCCAGTCAGGAGTGAGGAGTGAGCAGTTGTGCAGAGGCTGCGGCAGGCCCGCACAGTCGCCTTCTTCAGGCCCCTGCATCCTTGGGTTCTCACCCTAGCAGATGGGAAGCACGCTGCAATCCCATGTCCCAGGACTTCTCTGTTCACCGAATGAAGATGGAAGGGCTGTCTAGGGCCCTGCCTTCAGACCACCTCTGGTTGTCATAGCACAGCTCTGCCTCTCACCATGGCCCCAAGAGCCTCTTAGGAGGTGAACGTGCTGTCGACAGCCCACGTAATGTGGATATGCCTAGCTGTACAGAATGTGTGCCCCAGAGAGTTGCCTTGGAGGTGTGTGGAGGGTTTTCTCCTCTGGGAAAATCCAATGGGATTGCAGCTCTGGACCCTACCTGGTTTCCATGGAAACACTTGCACCCATGGCAATGCTTGGCAATTGAAGGCATTGTGGGTGGGAGGGTGGAGGAAGATGTTCCCTTCTTGCTTCTGTAGGCTGAGGCCATCTGGGAGTGTGTGAACTTGGAACTAAAGGATGGAAAGGTTGGGCACATCCTTAGCATCCCTGGAGGTCTGTCACAAGCTTCTCTTGTTTCTGGAAGGTTCTCATGTCTAATCTCGTGCTTGGAGTGGTACAGATGACTTCTGCCGGAAGTGGAAAGCAGAGTTCAAACCATTCCTGTATGCAACAGCTGTCACTGTTGGTCCCTCCAGTGTCAGCAGGGCAGTGAGAGCCACATGCTCTGGAACTCCCATGTCTAGAGGGTCTCTTTGCAAGACCGAGGCATGGCAGGGTGTGGGGGGTCCCACCCATGGTTGACACTGCAGAGCAGACACACTGGTTTTCTCTCTTCGCAGGATAAAGATTGAAGAGGAATATGCAAAGAACCTGGCTAAGCTCTCTCAGAACTCCTTGGCTGCCCAGGAGGAAGGGTGAGTTGGGTGGAGAGTGGAGAGGGGAGGAAGATGAGGGGACACAGAGAAAGGGATCCTTACTCAATCAGCAATGCTGCTCCCTTGGGATGGAGAGATTGCTGTCGGTCTGGCTCACTGTGGGGGTCTGTGCCTTGTAATCATTCATAGTCCAAGGTAGATGCTCACGACTTGAGGTAGACCCTCACGCCTTGGACAAGGGACCAATAACTCAAGGTGGATACTCGTGGCTTAAGATGAGTTTTCACGGCTCAGGGTTCAGACTTCTGGTTCAAGACTGGTACTCAGAACTAAGTGTTTTGGCCTCTAATGGCAGCATTCTGATGGCTGAGGAATGGATTATGAGTTTCAGGCCAACCTGGGCTACATAGCAAGGCCCTATCTCAAATAAACAACCAAACAAAAATGCTGGTGCTCGTGGCTCAAAGTAGGCACCCATGACCTGAAGTTTGAGTATTCATACTCCAGGTTATCCCTTTTATATATGTTTTTTCTTCAGTGACCCAGGGTCTCCTAGGTGCTGGAGCATATTAGAGCCCCTTTGGCTGTGCCCTGTGGCTGGACAGCAACCTCTCAGTGCCCAGCTCTGTGACCCTTCTTCTGGGAGGAAACTGAGTCTGAGAATTTCCTATCCAGCCTCTGAGAGAGCTTTTGAGAGCCCCAGGCCAGGCCCTATCTCCCTCTCCTATGGTGACAGTCCTAGATAGGGCTAAGGGACACTCCCAACCTTCCCAACCATGCAAGGATCTCCAGGGTTAGAAATCCTGCAGGGATAGATGCCTTCTCTTCTGTCTGTCTGCAGAGCCCTGGCCCTCCTGATCACTAGCAGGCATGTCAAGCGACACAGCCACTGTGAAAACTAGCCTGGCAGTTCTCAAGAGATAATCAGAGAAGTAGTATACGTCACCACTCCTTATTAGGTTTACACTCAAATGAGTCAAACATAAGGACTCAGACAAGCATGTTAGAAGTAACACTGTCCACAGAGACTAAAAGGTAGAAATGGCCCAGATTCCTTCAGGAGGTGAACAGGTACACAAACCACAGTGTACTCACAGTGGATACTCATGGATGTACAATGGGATGTTATTTACCCATAAAAAGGAATAGAATACTGAGACCCACTACTGTGTGGGTGAACCTCAAAAATGTGATGCTAAGTAAAAGAAGCCAGCTGCCGTGGGTCACAGAGCATATCATTCCATTCTTATGAAGTGTCCAGAATAAGCAAAGCAGTAGAGACAAAGCCCACTGGTTAGTGGTGAAGAGGGAAAAGGGGAGTGATAGTAGGTACTTTAAATCTTTCCATTTAGGGTGTGTATGTGTCTGGGAAGGCTGCTATAACAAAATACCACAGACTGAGTCACTTCAACGATAGGAATTTTCCTGTGCGTGAAGGTATACACATCTGTAATTCAGTACTCAGGAGGTAGAGATGGGAAGATCATGAGTTTAAGGCCAACCTGGGCTACACAGTGAAATCCCTGTCAAGAAAAAGCACAGAAAAAAAGCCTCTATTTTGTCTCAGTTCTAGAGACTGGGAGTTCAATGTCAAGGTTCCAGCAGAGTTGGTGTCTGGCACAGGCTCTCCCTGGGGTCGCAGATGGCTGAAAAAATCACTGTGTGCTTACATACCATCCTCTGTGTGGGCTGGGGCGGAGGAGTGAGTCCTACAAGGACAATTATCCTCCTGGATCACGGCTCTGCCCTCTAACCTTACTTACTGCCCCATCCCCATATCCTCCATCAGAGTTTCAAGATATGAATCAGGAGGCTAAAGTGGAGGGAGGGATCACAAGCTTTTCTTTATGATGGGGTGATGAAGGGTTTGGGGCCATCAAGGGTAGGCTGTTCTACACTGTGGATGTTGTAGACACTTGGCAATTGCTCACCTTAAATTGGATAATTTTAGCACAGGCGACTTTCACCTCAAAAGAAAAAACCATCAAGGCTCCTGCGAAGTCAGTACCGACAGGGTCCTCAGAGGCTGCCTCTGTTGTCCCGCCACCCTCCTGAGATGAACCTCAGGAAGAAGGTGTGGCCACAGCAGTGGTCAGGGAGCTGTGATAGTGAACAGGCTGGAGTCTGCCTCATGGCTGGAGCCTGCCTGAGACGGAGATGTTTTGCTAACTGAATATGGCTTTGATTAGGGCTCCTCATGGGCTGACTAAAGCCAGGCCGTCTCCTCCCTGTCAGCCACAGGATGACCCAACAGAGCCTGTGTCCCTCTTCAGACACGAACACGGTTAGCTGGCTCCTGGCCTCACCTACTGCTTCCTCAGCCTGAGACAAGGCAGGAAACGCACGGGAAGTAGCCCTGCCACCAGGGGAAGCGGCTTCCTATGGGTCCCCGCGCTTGGCATCACTGCATGGCTCTGGAGCCTTCCTGCTTCCACCCCCTCGGCTTGGGCTCCTGCCAGGGACATTTTGTCCTGCCAGCACACAGCATATGCTCCTAAGCTAAGCAGCCTGCTTCTCGTGCCAGACCCACATACATGCGCACACTCAACCACGCAAGCTCAGGTACAGATAGATATCCATGCCGCATGTGTGCACATGCACACACCCCATCACTGCGTCACTGGAGGGGACAAAGGACCACAATGCTGTATCTTACACCTACAACGCAGCTCTAGACATTTGGTCCGGTGCACCTGGACAGCCGTGTGGGCATTCGAGAGCTCAGAAACCCAGGGGCAGTTAGAATGCACTTGAGCTCGCTGGCCGCTTAGGTGCTCTGTCCACATGAGATGTCACGAGACACGTGCATGCTGGTGAATCAGCAGCCTTCAGTTTTTCATTGTGCCTTCAGCAGTCTCATGTGTGGGAAGGCTATGAAATGTTGGTCATTCCCGGTTGGAGTTTTGAAACCAGGAACCCATGCTTTGATTTGGCATGTCAGACTATACATTGAGATCCAGGGATATCTGACAGTTTTTCTTTTACCTCTTTCTCATCAGACACCGTCTTCAAATCAGAATTTCTAATGGCTTTTCCCCAAACATGTAAAATTTATTTTTAATGAACACCTATTCGTTCAGACATATTGACAGGGCCGAGTGCGGCAGTTCCATACATTTGAAGTGCCTTGGAATACTGAGGAGAGGGGAACCTAGGCATGGCGCTGAGCCCATCTGAAAGTCAGGAGAGACACCCTTCCACCAGGGCATGCCAGCCCTGCAGGTAGGGCTGAAGATGTGGTCCAGGATGGGAATGGTTCAGCTCCCCCGCCCTGCCCCCCAACCCCCGCCCGCAATATCCCTGAGCTAACAGTCTCAGGCTACTATACCCGACCCTAGTCAGTTACCCCACATGCTCTGCTGCCAGGGCCTTTGCAGAGTCCTATATTTCCAGGACCTTCTGAGTGTCACTCAGCTCCTAGGGCAGCAGCACCCCCCCTCCTCGTCATGGCAATGGCTTATTGGCTGTCGCTTTGAAGCTAGAATCTGCGTTGAGATCCTATGAGAGTGGCGTGAAGTGATGGTCAAGATTTCTCCTTGCCATGTGATATCCAGTTGTCTCTGCATCATCTCCTAACAGTTGCCCAAGGACTAGAGATGGAGCTCAGTGGTAGAGCATCCCCTGATGTGTGGGAGGCCCCACCCTTGCGGCTCACCAGCCTGCCCTATCTGTGTGACTCTGTGTCCGAGACCCTTTTGTATTGCTCTAAGTGGATAATTTATGAAGAAAAGAGATTGCTCATGGTTCTGAAGGCTGGGAGAGCCAAGACCAAGGGCCAGCACCTACAAGGTGCCTACACACTGCCCTAGCATGTGACAGAAGCCACCACATGTCAACCAAAAGAGAAATGGCCAGCGTAAGGCTCCCAAGTGTTTTGTTATGGCTTTAGGAGCCCCACCTCTTAACACTGCCATGCCTGGGATGAAGTCTGCTGCATATGCTTTGAGGGGACACCTTTACCTTACCCCGATCCATGAAACTGCCATGACAGCTTCCACTGCTGAGTGAGGTAGGGGAGCCTAGCCCACACAGGTCTACAGGACTGTGCATTCTCCTCACAGCTTCCCAGATGCCAGGCCCTTGAGGCAGAGACAAATGTCCACAGCATGGTCACCCCAGACTCACCTAGTCTTTCTCTAATGGAACCCCAACATTACCCTCCCTTCTTCCAGACTCTGTAGATATCACTTGATAGTTTCTCATGAACACCCACCAAGGCCAGGCTAGCACTGCCACCAGCCAGGTAGGGAACTGGATCACAGGGACAGATCTGCTAACTGCTGCCTTCGAACTTGGAAGCGGCAACTCCAGTGCTCTGCCCCAGCGGGCTGTCTTCTAATCAGCGTTTGCCACTAAAGTTTAATTTTGCATGAAATGAAGTCAACTTGCTGGGTGAGAGGTCTGGAAAAGGAGTCAGGGGTCTGGTTTAGAATGATCATGGGGTTGAAGGGTCCACATAATGAATTCTGTATCTTAGGTTTTTTTTGGAAGTCTCCGGGATTTGGGGAGACGCCTCCTGTTTGGAGCATCTCTTTGGAGCAGGGAGATGGCACCGTTTAGAGTGTACACTGCAAGCCACAGTGGGGTGCACAATCCAGAATCTGCTAGAGAGAAAGCATGCCCCTGCAGATGGCTAGGAGAGCCTTCTCAGTGTGGGGCTGCACCTGGGATGTCCCTGGACCCAAGTAGACCATCTGCGCCTCTCCTGGAGGCCAAGTGGCTGAGATCCGTGGGCTGGCTGCGAGAGAAAGGCCTTCAGAAACGAATCTGGTTTTTTCCTTTAGTTACCAGCATATATGTGTCCCCTCAGCAACAAGCCAGGGTGTGGAGTGGAAAGGTACCGGCACAGTGCTGGCCGGGAACCAACCCCACTGCAGCACATGCTGTGGGAAGGCACCCCGCCCTCTCACACCTCCCTGAGTCCTCGAGTGGCTCTGGGTTCCAACTATTTCTCCTGTCGCTAAGATGCTTGCTCCTCTCTTAGACACGGAAGCAAGGCCGGCTCACCTTGGCCTCGGTGGCTGAGTCTAGTCTCGTTCAAGTCCACAGTCTTGAATGTTCTATACCTCCTCAAGACATGGAGCCTAGACTTACCATCCCTTCTTAGGGAGGGCTGTAGCTTTGGACCAGAGCCCTTTCTGTGTAGCATGAATCTTAAAAGTTCTTATTAATAAAAAACAAACTCAGGGCCTGGTATTGGGGTGAACCCTGGAAGATCAGAGAAGCAGAACAAGCCACAGCCACCTCACCTTGCCAGTTTCCTCAGACTGGAAGCTTCTGAATCCTCATCCAAATGGATCTCAGCTGAACTGTGCTGCTCAAAAGCCTAAAAGCTTAACCAGCCTCTAGTTCCTGGTCCTCACACCTTATATACCTTTCTGCTTTCTGCCATCACTTCCTGGGATTAAAGGTGTGAGTCACCATGCCTGGCTGTTTCCAGTGTGGCTTTAAACTCACAGAGATCCAGATGGATTTCTGCCTCCCAAGTGATAGGATTAAAGGCGTGTGTGCCACCATTTACTGGCCTCTGTATCTAGTGACTGTTCTGTTCTCTGAACCCAGATAAGTTTATTAGGGTGCACAATATTTTGGGGAACACAATACCACCACGTCTCTGCCCACCCCCATCCCTGCCGTCTAACAGCCCCCTTCGTGTTGCAGCTCCCTGGGAGAAGCGTGGGCCCAAGTGAAGAAGAGCCTGGCCGACGAAGCTGAGGTTCATCTCAAGTTCTCCGCCAAGGTAACCCTCCCCTCCCTCCCGCCAGAGTTAGAGTAGGACACGCTGATGACTGGTTACCAGCTCTCTATTGCTTACATGGCTTGCCATTTTCCATGGTACCAAGTCCCCGAATACAGAGTTGGGAGGAGATGCCCGTAGCTCACCATTAGATGCTGTCCCCACTGAATAGACAGTGACAGAGATGACCGGACGTGTGCACCAAAAGCCCAGATAAGAGCATGGCTTTGGTGTTGAGAAAGGATTACCTTTTTTGAACATAAGTCTTAGTTTGTGATCACTGGTGCTTACTATAAAGTGAGTTCATTTAATTTCTTTTTGAATCATGGCTATTTTAACAAGCAGCTCACAGTGAGCTCTCAGGAGCCCTGGAAGGCAGGCAGCCCAGGGTCTGTGTGGTAGGAATGGATGCCTCCTGGTTCACTCAGGTGAACCCCAGCCTCTCTGTGTTGGTTTCACAGGCATGGATTGACACGGTAGTCAACTCTGTGTCTGGAACACTAGGCTATATCCAAGGGAAGATTTTCGAAACTCGAGTTGTTGTTGCAGAATTTCTGAATCTCCCCTCCTTTCTTTCATTTGATTCCAAGACACTAGAACCAGGGCTTTTTTGAGTTCAGGCGTGATTCGGTCCTGTTCATTTCACCACAGTCAACACTAAGCACTTGTAGAAGATGCTTAATAGATACCTTCAGATGAAATGAGTAAACAGAGCAAGAGTTCTCAACCTGTGGGTTGCGACCCCTTTGGGGGGGTCAAATGACTATTATGGGTGTTGCCTAAGACCACTGGGAATCACAGATATTTACATTATGATTTGTAACAGTAGCGAAAATACAGTTATGAAGTGGCAACAAAATAATTGTATGGTTGGGGGTCACCACACCATGAGGAACTGCATTAAAGGGTCTCAGTGTTGGGAGGGCTGAGAACCACTGCTATAGAGCCGCTGGCCATCTCCTCCCTGCCCCCCAGGCTTTCAGCTCTGTTCTGCCTCAGGATTTCTCCATTTCCCTGGCTTATACCTCCACATTTTCTCTCAGACCCTCAGCTCCTTTTAAGTGAAAACTAAGCTAAATGTCTCAGTGAGATCATTCACACTAAAGCATGTGTGACTGATGGCCTGCCCATTAACAGGCCTTCCTTTTCAAGAAAGAGAGGCCTTTGGGAGTGTCGCCCACCATCTTGACTGACCCTCTCTTCCCTCTGACCTCCTGCCACCACCAGACAACCACCACAGCCCTGGGTGCTATCTATTCAAGTGTTTGAACACCCAGAGTCCCCATGTTGAAGTACCGACTTTGTCATTTAAAGGTAGTATCCTCCAAGACATTGTTCTTTCCTGAGGCTTCCACGGTTGCCTCTCGCTAGCCTTCTCCTCACAGTGCTGTTCCCATTCGTCATTGCAGTTCCCTGCATTAGGGTCCCGGGCCATGTGCACTCTTGAAGGACAGGACCATGTCGCTCTCCCCAGCCCTCCCTCTGTGACGTTCAATGCACACAGAAGGATGGGATGACTAACTCAGAGGTCTGAGACCATGGGAGAGCTTTTCAGGGAACAGTGCCGCTTCTGGTTCCTGGCTTCTGAAGGGTGTGAGTGCCCGAGATGGAGCTGGTACCCGCACGTGAGTGAGAATTCCCAGCTCATAAGAGTATGCTCACCCCATGCAACCAAGCCCTTCCCCAGCACATTGGCATGGGAGCCCCCCATGAGGAGAGGAGGGAGCACTCTGAACCGGCTGCCTTCAGCGCCGCAGATGATGCAGCAGGTTATTTTTAAGCCATGGTTCATGAGTACCTTCCTTTCAAGGCTTCCCTCCCTCCTCTTGTCCCATCCCCCAGCAGTGCTGTTTTCCTTTGCATGAGGTGGAGGTGGAGGCCACCAACCACATCTCCAGCATTATACACAGGAAGAACCCAAACCTGAGGAAGCTCCTGCCCTTGCAGGGAACGCCACGGGAAGCATGCAGGCTGATTTCCCAAACACTCAGGCCGTTGTAAGCAAGGTTCACAGGCTCACAGACCCCGGCACTAAGGGTGGCTCATAGAGAAGGGGCATGCCAACACGGGGTGCAAACTTTAAACCATCAGCAATTCTGCTGCTTCTGGCCTGGGTGGGCTGATGACTCCAGGCTAGCCCAGTAGCCTCTTAATGGTGGCATGGCAATTTCTTAAGAGGAAGGGGGGACTCTGAGGACTGATTTGTCAGCCTTGAAGACTATGGTTCCCGAGGCACAAAACCTATTTTATGTCAGCTCCAAAAGGTTTATTGAAATTCTTCACCATCCGAATGCTCTGTGTCGAGGGTAAAAGCCTTTTAAGAAATGGGATTGCGTACAGCGTGCTCTCCAGCTTTGCCGGTCTCCTGGCTCAAGCCGGTGCTAATAGCAACAGCAATCTCAAGAAATGAGCTCGCTCCATTGGAAGGCAGTTAGAACCGGCCCCGTGAAAGAGGGGAGAAAAGACACATTCCTGCTGATGGAAGGAAACATGACCATGCAATAGGGGCATGTGCACAGGCAGATCTGAGGGCACGGGGTGGGAGGGTGGGAGGGTGGGGGGATGTGCGGTGGTGGGGTTTGCAGGGGGAGGGGGGAGATATGTGAGCCCAGCACTGTCACTAACAAGCTTTGTGAGCACCGGTGGGTTACTTGGCAGCCCCACAGTTCCATTTTTTTTTTCATGTGTGAAATGAAGAGTTCCAAGTGGGTCCATGGCTTTAATCTGGCCTGACTGTGACCACAGGAGGTATTTCACATGGTCACCAAGGACATGTGCGTACCCACCCCCATACCCACTCCGAGACACATATGTGTGTAGCCAACACAGACGCTTCTAACACTCTACTTTTATTCTGCCTAAAATACACCCTGACATTTTTTCTCCCCAAGTTGGCTCTTATTATTATCTCAAAAACCCTGGTCCTGACCCACCAAGTTGATTTCACAGCTAGTCACTCACCACTTGGAAATGCCCAGACCAGACAGTCACTGAAATCATTTCCAACTTGGAATTCTCTTCTGACGGGTGATGTGAAAAGAAGGGGTTGGGGGAGCCATGCCCCCCACCAATCAGCCCCCATAGTCCAGCCCATCTAGTACAGGCCTGACTGGCAACATATTCCCCAGAAACACTTTCAAGAAAGATCACTGTTGCCCTGCTGGGAGCAAAGGCTTCAGAGCTAAGGATGAATCTGAAAAAGACACTTAACCAAAGTTCTGAAGGAAAAAAATATTGGTTTTAAGAAGTCCTTAATATATGGGCTGGAGAAATAGCTCAGTGGGTAAAGCACTCGGTAACGCACAATCATGAGGACGTGAGTTCAAATCCCCGGAACAGAAAACTTGGTGCATGGAGTAAAAGCACTGCAGTTCATAGCAACCACCTTGAATCTCAGCTGCGACATTTGGGGCAGTGTCTGTTGGTGCTATGTGATGGGCATGTGCAGTGCAAAGTGCCATGTATTTGCAGAGCCAAGACTGCTATGAAGTCACGTCATGTGACACAGACAGCTTGGGTTCACCGCACGTCTGATTTTGAATTAGCTGTTGCCAAGTTTGTGTAAGACCCACATTCAGTTTTATGTCCCCATTAGGGAGCGCAACCCGCAGCTTAAGAAACTGGGTGTTAGCCGGGCGGTGGTGGTGCACACCTTTAATCCCAGCACTTGGGAGGCAGAGCCAGGCGGATCTCTGTGAGTTCGAGGCCAGCCTGGGCTACCAAGTGAGTTCCAGGAAAGGCGCAAAGCTACACAGAGAAACCCTGTCTCGAAAAACCAAAAAAAAAAAAAGAAGAAGAAGAAGCTGGGGGTTAAAATAAGAACACCCGAGACTTGGGTAATCTCTAGAAAAAAGACAAAAACCTAAGCAAGGGGAGACAAGAAAGTCTCCAGAACCTCAGAGCTGGGAGTCATCTGTTTGGAAGGCAGAGCTGGCTAGCCACAGACACCAATGGGACAGAGGGGGTCATGCTGAGGGTCTCCAAGGCACTGGCCCAGTGGAGTTATAGAAGGCTGAGTCTGGACAGGGGCTGCTCATCTCCAGGAGGTTGGGTATGGGGCACAGGAGAGCGCTAGACTGCCCTCTTGACTGTCCAGTTCTGGGCTTATTGATGCCCACTCTTGCAAAAATAAACACGTCATGCTTACAATCAAATCGAGTATCTTAAATGACATCTCAAGAAAGTGTGATGCGCGGTGGGAAAGAGGGAGGGTGCTTTAAAACCAGATGCCACCAGTTCGTCTTACTGCAGAGGACTCTTTCTTGGGCCCTCAGAAGGAACATGAGGACAGTTGACTGGGGTGGGGACAGGAAGTGCGCCTGCTCCCCTTAGTGCTTCTCAGGACAGTTGTCCTTGTGCATTCCCAAAGGGCCTCCCGACAGCCCCTGCCACCGTTTCCTGGAGGTCTGACCAGGCCCGGGTCATCTTTGTACTCCAGGCATGAAGCACATGATCCATAAATACAAATGATCTCAGATCACCTGAGTGATGGACAGCCTTTCCAGTCATCTGCCAAGCTTCACACAACAGTCACTCTAAGTGCCTGAGGACACAGGCAGGTGATGTGGTCTGCCCCCAAAAGACTCCCAGTTTGAAAAAGGCAGGAGAAGAGGATGCCCAAGCAAAGCTATTACTAGACAACTCTATATTGTGAAACACAAGTGAGGATATCCGTGCAAGGTTCCTTAGTGTGACTCAGTCACTGCACAGTGTACGTGCTGCAAGCCACCAAGTGTCAAAGACAAGATGTTGGAAAGAGGAGGAGCTGGCTGTTGTAGAGGCATAGAAAAGGAAGGCGTGAGCTAATGCGGTAACTGGAAAGTTCTGGGATAGCCATTTAGCACATGGCTATGCTACCTGGGACCTAAGGTGGCCAGTGCAGAAAGCTGATAAAGATGCTCATCTCTTTAGCCTTCTCTGGATGGTCTAGCCATCCAGACCACTGCCCCAGGGCCTGGCTTCAACAAGAGGGTGGGAGATCTTGCTCACACCCTAACACAGCTCGTAACTTGGTGCTGAGCATGCCTTCTCCACCCTCCTCCTTCTCCATCCTCCTCCATAGCTCCACAGCGAGGTGGAGAAACCACTGATGAACTTCCGCGAGAACTTCAAGAAGGACATGAAAAAGTGTGACCACCATATCGCTGACCTCCGCAAGCAGCTGGCCAGCCGCTACGCCTCAGTGGAGAAGGTGAGAGGCCAGGGTACCTCACTGGTAAACAGCTGGGGACTTGGAGGACAGAAACCAGATGTTGGTATCACAGCAGAATCCTTTGTCCTTGTATGCTGGAGTGGTGGGGGGAGTCCAAGGAACTCCCACCTATCCATGTGGCAGGCAGGAGTTGCTACCCCAGGACACTTGGATGACTCCCCCAAGGGCGACTGGGAGTAAGAAGAAGCTGAGGGTGAAATGGGAGTTGTAATGGCCACATGGGACAAGGCAACCCCTATTTCTGTGGACACCAAGTCAGATGTGCCACAGCTGCTCACATGGCTACTGCATCTGGGCCCCATCTTCAGGGGCTCCCTGAACTGGTCTCCCCTCCCAGGTGTGAAAAGAATCACCTTCCTATGGGTGGTCATCCCACAGGAGGCAGGGCTGATGGTGGCCGGCCCTGGAGGAACAGACAGTCTCCCCAGTGGCCTGATTGGGTGTCCTCTAGAACAGGAGTGGCAAGCCACTGCAGGTACCCAAGATGTGGCTACATCTCCACCAAAGGCTGAGAGTGGATGATGATGGTGGTGATGGTGATGATGATGATGATGATGATGGTGATGATGGTGATGATGGTGATGGTGGTGGTGGTGATGGTGGTGGTGGTGGTGGTGGTGATGATGATGATGGTAATGATGATGGTGGTGGTGGTGGTGGTGGTGGTGGTGGTGGTGGTGGTGGTGGTGGTGGTGGTGATGCAGGCACAGTAAGGGCTGAGGCTATGAGATAAGTAAATTGGTACCCACAACCTGTTGTGCACTGCTAGGAGGTAACTCAGGTAACCTTTATGGTCCCTTCCAACTCTTGAGAGACAGTGTTTCTTTTTTAATCTTTTTTTAATTATATTTATTCATATGTATGAGTGTTTTGCTCAGATGTATGTCTAAGCACCACTTGCTTGCCTGGTGCCCTTGGAAGTTAGAAGAGGGCATTGACTCCCCTGGAACTGCAGTTATGGATAATTGTGAGCCACCAAGTGGGCGCTAGGAATCAAACCCTGGGCCACCTACAAGAACAGATGTCCTGAACCACTGAGCCATTATCTCCAGCCTCAGAGACAGTGGCTTTAGGCTCACAGTACAGGCACATGCCCTGGAGGCAGCGTGGCCTCAGAGACTGACAGGTCACGTGCAGATGTGGCTGGAAAAGGGCGGGTAAGAAAACCCCAGCTAGGGGCTAGCCCTCTGGTTCCTTTGTGCCAGGGCGCCATCATCCACACAGGCAGGTAGGATGAGCATGGGTGAGTGGGTAGCAGGACCCTGAAGCCTGGCTGCGGCTTTATGAACAGCTTCTCTGGGCTTGGCTGTCTCCCCTCACCACACTCCCCACCTCCCACCGCCCCCACAGGCCCGCAAAGCCCTCACAGAGCGGCAGAAGGACCTGGAGATGAAGACCCAGCAGCTGGAGATCAAGCTGAGCAACAAGACCGAGGAGGACATCAAGAAGGCGCGGCGGAAGTCCACTCAGGCTGGTGAGCCCAGTGGTGTCCTAGCAGTACCAGCCCAAGGGAGGGGCAACTCTTCTTGTCAGGCTCCCACTCCTGTGGCGTGGTCCTTCTCATCTTCCCCCTTGAAGTATCCCTTGTGTCTCCTCCCTGCCCATGTCCAGGGATCTCAAGGGAAGGGAAAGGAAGCAGGCAAGCTACTCCAAGGTAGCAGTGAAGGCTGCCCAGCTCATCCTATTCCGCCCATGGCCTTTGGGTTTTTCCAAGCCCTGGATCTAGGTCTAGAGAGATCGACAGATTTCTCCATGCACCCAGAACTCAGGGACCTGACTCTGTTTGAAGAATGCAACCGCCAACCCACCCATCCAAATGCTCCACCTCCCCGGGGAGTTAGTTATACTGTGGAAGTGAGCTCCTGCCCTGAGGACAGAAGCCAGCAGCATTCAGTCTTAAAAGCATCCATATTTCAGAATTTGCCCTTATTGCTCCCGTAAGCCGGTTTCTGCTGCCACCTAGTGGTAACAATTAGCTGCTACACAAGACAGGAAGATAGGGCCTCAGAGTCTAGAAAATAACAACTTTCTCAAAGATGCCAAGTCTCTTGATTTCTGACGAACCTGCTGCAATTTGTATCATTCTAGAATAAAGTATCCACCTTGGATGGTATAAAATAAAGTGGTATAGAAATAAGTTGACAAAAATTAGATACATAATGACACATCCTGTCCAGAAACATTTTCATAAATTCCTGATATGTTTATTATAAATAGAGAGGGGATCCAAAAAGGGAAGACATATATTCAAATGAATTCATTAAATTAAAAAACAAAACTATATAGACACAGCAGTGTACAGCAAATGTTTCCATCAGTACACAGAGTATGCTATTCACCAGATATAATCCCCAAATAATTCTCTGAATTCATATAAATTGGATCATATTTTACTCTATCTTTGATCTTGCTTTGCAATTAATATGTCTTAGAAATAGCCCCCATCTCGCTCCCTCTAAAACTCTTTATACATCCAGTCATGCACATCAGACTCTTTGATTTTTATTGCTATGTTTTATTGTGCAGCCTCTGAGGGAACTCAGGGCCTCACACATACTGGGCAAGAACATTCCCACTGGGCTGCAGCTCCAGCCCCCAGGATTACATCCGAATTTATTCCATCATTCCTTTAATAGATTTTAGGACTTTGAGATTGTTTCTGAGTGTTTGCCCAGGACCAGAGATGCTGTGTTCGTTATCGGAACTGCAACTCTCTGCATATGTAAGAGCAGATCCTCCCATGGAGGGAATGAAAATGCTGGGTCAGAAGGTTTGATTCATTTTGACAGATATTTCCAAACTGCTTTCCAGAGAGGGTTCCACGGCTAACACCTATGACTACCTCTTCCTTGAATGCTTATTGGTATTGCCTATTATCAAACTTGAAACCACTGGTGTGCTGGCTATATATATATATATATATATATATATATATATATATATATATATATATATATGTATATATGTATGTATGTATGTATGTATGTATGTATGTATATGTATATGTGTATGTGTATGTATATGTATATGTATATGTATATGTATATATTATTTTGAAATTCTCTATAAGAGGGTTGAACATTCTGAAAATACACTCATGAATTATTTTACACACACACACACACACACACACACACACACACACACACACACACGAACTGAGGAACTCAAATCCCTGTTGAATGCTGTGTGTCATTCTTAGTGACTGACTGACAGGTTAGGTATGTGTTAGGAAAAGTCACCCCTGGTCATCCAAATTGCAAGTTTTCCCCATGGTTATCATTTGTCGTTTACTTTTGTTCTTTGAAGAAAAAGAAAGAAGCTTTTGTGTTTCTTTGTTTGCTTGCTTGCTTTTGTTTTTCCTCGCCTGGTTTCAGCAGCGGTTCTCTGTATAGTGACGTTCTCTCTGCGGTATCTGAGTTTGAGGAGGACTGACTTGGAGAGGCCTCCACTTGGAAGGAGGCACTGACATTTCTTCCCTTCTGGTCCTTTTCCTCTCCTTCTCTATCTCTCACAATGCTACTGAGAGGAAAGGTGTCCGGATTCTCAGGGGCTCTGCCATGAGGAGTATCTTGCTGTCTGTCTAGTCTCTATTCCAAGCACTTGGCACTTATCCACTCCTTTTCAAGATGACTTTTGTTGTTGTTTTGTTTTGTTTTTTTTTGAGACAGGGTTTCTCTGTGTGACCTTGGCTGTCCAGGAACTCATTCTGTAGACCAGGCTGGCCTCGAACTCATAAAGATCCACGGCTTCTGCCTCCCCAGCGCTGGGGATTAAAGGCATGCACCGTCACTGCTCAGCTAAGATGACTCTTTAAAGCTATAATGTCATACCTTGTTTCATGATGAAGAAACTGAGGCATGGGCAGATGAGGTGGCACACCCAGAGTCATGCAGCTTATGACGGTGGATCGATGCAGCCCTGGCATTCTGGTTCCAGAATCCACTCTCTCAACTGGCACTTTGAGGAAGGGTCCAGTCTCTATCTCTTGGGCTGCCACAGGAAGGCAACAGCCTTCCCCACACGACTTTCTGGTGCTGCAGATAGTCCTGAAACATGTTCTCAAAATCAGGATGGACATATAGGGCACTAGAAGACCCACAGTGTATGCTCAGAGGGCAGCATGCTGGCCCCATTCTAGAGCAAGTGACGTCATGGTGGAAGTTAAGGGACAGAGATGTATCGATGCGCTTCCCTCTAGCTAACGCTCCTTGAGCCAAAGGGGCAATCATTGGCCTTGGCCAGGAACTAAATGAAGAGAACACTTAGCACAGCTGTTTCCAAAGCACAGAACTCGTGGTCTATCTGTGGTCGGGGCATGAGGATGCTGAGCTGGTCTTGAGTTATATGGACACCTCTCCCTGTTTTCCTCCACTTTCCCATCAGAAGGCACATGAGTAAGAGTTATGTCAAAGGAATGACTTTCAATCTCTTCAAATGACTGGATTCAACTCAGAGAATTCCTAGAATCGCCTGTTGATTTATTAGAGTGAGTCACTTGGCTCACAGGCTTCTCCCAGCGTGAGCGGAGACCACGGTGCTCCGTTCTCACCAGAGCCACATTCACACAGTGCAGAGCACTTCCGTGTCTGCTCCTCTGACACACCCCTCACCACAGGTTTGGGGGAAGGTTGGCTTCGGGTTCAGCAGGTCTGGGGTACATCCTGAAGCCCTGCACCTGTCACGGGTCCCCAGGGTTACCTGGTGCCATTGGTTCACCAACCGTGCTTCGTGTAGCAAGGCTCTGGGGTGCCAGCATCCTTACTAATATTTTGTAATCACCTCATAGTTCAATTTTGTTCTAATTTTAAAAAACGTTTGAGATACACGTCATTACAGAAATCAGCCATGTGTTAGCCGTGGAGCGGTAGTGGTTGTATGGTCAGACTGCTGTTATAAAACAGAATGCTGCATGAATGCTTCCCTCTGGTTCAGCCTGACTCAGTTTCCCCAGGCTTCCACTCATCTGCTCTAGTGCTCAGCCTTGTACCAGTACTGGGCAGTGAATGAGCCATGACCACAGGATATTGTGTTGGGATTCAGAATGCTGTCCCTTCTCTCTCTCTCTCTCTCTCTCTCTCTCTCTCACACACACACACACACACACACACACACACACACACACACACACACACGACTTGCAAACTTCTCTCTTTGGGGAGAGAGAAGATACTGGGGATTCTACCTGGGCCTCGCATTCACTAGGAAGGCATTCTTACCACTGAGCTACATCCCTAAGTTACCCATCCTGACCTTGAACTTGCAGTCCTAATGCCTCAGGCTCCCAAATGCTGAGATTACAGATGTGTACTGTGGCACCCAGAGTCAAGTGTAGTCTCTTCATGAGAAGCCCCCTGCCTGAATTCTTGGGATCTGCCATCGAGTTCAGATGGGCACTCTGTGGCTCGTCCCCTATGGTCTGCCCCCTTCTTTCGTCCACTCCCTTCTTCTCTTCTTCCCCCTTCATTCGCTGACTTTGCAATGACCACCATGACTCTGGGAGAAGAACAAGCATAACCATGGGCATGGGCAGAGAAGGGTAGCCGTAGTGGAGACAAGGTGGCATGTAACAGGGCATGATGGTGACTGTTGGCTTTTCCCAGGCGATGACCTCATGCGCTGCGTGGACCTCTACAACCAGGCCCAATCCAAGTGGTTTGAAGAGATGGTGACGACCACATTGGTATGTGAGCAGATGGTAAAGAGGCAGGTGCCCAAGCAGCCCTGGGCGGCGGGGGGTCGGGGGGCAGCGGTCATGGGAGGATGGACTGGTGGTTAGAGCGAAGATGGTCATTAGATCTCTCTCAGCCCTGGAGTCCAGCCCTCATTCTATACCTGCCCATGGATACAAACTCCTGCTCTAGAGCTCCCTGCTCTGTGAACTCAGCAAGGGCCTGGTCTTGCTCAGTTCTCCTTTGTCTGTCCACTGAGGTGTCAGGATTCACCAGGAATTTCCTCATCTCAGTGAACCACAACCCTGCTGTGAAAAACAGAGAAGCAGTGGAAAGTGGACACTCTCTCCCCAACACACACACTCACACACACACTCACACACATACACACACTCACACACGCATACACACACTCACACACACATACACACACTCACACACGCATACACACACAAACACATAAACACACACACACTCAGAACTTCAGGTCCTTGATAGAGGGGTCCCTAGGAGACACCTGAATGGGAAGACTGGGGAGCTGTAGAGGGCCTGTGATGGAAGACCATGGTGCAGACCCTGCATGCTAGCCCGTACGTTCCTTTTAAAGGGTCAGTTGTCTCTCCTTGTTGGCCAGACCCGCCTTGAAGGACAGTAGTGCATGGCTGGTACTTGAAACAAGCGGGAGAAGGCGGCAGCATCACGGCCACTGTCCATGCTACCATCCCAGTGTCCAGTGCCACCCCTTCCCATGCGCTAACCAGCTTCCTTCTCCAGGAGCTAGCCCACCTAGGAAGATCAGCAGCCTCCTTCAGGGGCAGTGCCCTGCTTTTCCTCTCCTCCATTAATCTTCTAATTAAACCCCCTTCTTTACCTCCCTTCCAGGTTAATCACCTGGGCCGTGACCTAGTTACCCACAGAATAACAGCCTAATCCCCTAAAGTCACGGAACCAGCGAGAACCCACCACCACCAAGCCTCTCCACTCTCCTCTGACAATGCTAGCACATTCCCAGGCTGCTTTGCTCCCGGCCCTGCTCTTCTTTTCCCCTCAGCACTAGGAGTGGGTAGAAGCCAGAGAGCTTGAGGAGCTGAAGCTGACCTGTTGCTCCCCCGTCAGCTGGAGAGCATCACAGATCCCAGCTTACATGTTGCTCCATGATGCTTTGGGCCAATAGGGACAACCGTAGATCCGTTCTCTCTGAGTCCTAGTGAGGGTACTCAGGGACTCTGCATGTGCAGAGTTCCACGTAGAGCCGGGAGAGACACTCTTATGACTCTCATTTTCACCCTGAGGATTGACTGCTTCTTCAGGAGAGCCCAGAGGTTCATATAGGTTGGGGATCCACAGCCTTGTGCATAGAATACATGGTAGCCGGACACCTGCCTGGTGGGAAGGTCCCTGAGTTAGGGATGTGCTCAGGGGCCTCTGGTCCTCTCTTCTTCCTCTATAGGAGCTAGAGCGGCTGGAGGTGGAGAGGGTGGAGATGATCCGACAACATCTGTGCCAGTACACACAGCTGCGGCATGAGACAGACATGTTCAACCAAAGCGTGAGTTCCCCGTCTCTGCACTAAGGCTAGCAGGACAGACTTAGCATGACTATCCAGAGGTCCATGTGATCCATTCCTAGCACACATATGAGGCAGGTTCTCCTGGGGGCTACTCCAAGGACCAAAAAACAAACAAACAAAAAGGCTATAATTGGTTTGGTTTGGTTGTTTTAGGCTGTATCTGGTTAGGCCTTTGAATATATGATCTTTCTGCCTCAGTTTCCCCAGTACTGGGATCACAGTTATGTGCTTTATTCAGCTTTACAATGGTTAAAATAACCAAAGAGATTTGTCTCCCATGTGAACTTGCTTCAGAAAACAAACCAAATACAACTTCTAAAACAATGACCAACGCCTGAAGGCTAGTCTCTTAGCCAAGGGAAGGCAGATAGAGGAAGAGGTCCCCTTTAGGACAGCCTGCCCTCTTCTCCAGGCCTGAGGTCTGTAGATCAGCTCTACCTCTCACTGTGTTCTACACTTTCTCACCCTCAAACCACCTCCACGGGGCCCTGGAACCTTCTAGAAGGGCTGAGCTGAGGTGGTTCTCCAACTTCGGCAGCGTGGGACCTCGGGGACCTCCCAGTTCAGCTGCCACCTCTGACAGTGACCCCTCCTCTGTGTCCCTTGCAGACAGTCGAGCCTGTGGACCAGCTGCTGAGAAAAGTGGACCCAGCCAAAGACAGGGAGCTCTGGGTCAGAGAACACAAAACGGGCAACATTCGCCCAGTGGACATGGAGATCTAGACGCGCCTGGGTGGTCCTGGGGGTCCTGCTGAGGAGAGGGGCTGGGGGTCCCACGGAGGAGTGGATTTGCCCTATTACCTGCTGACCTGTCCGCAGAGGAGAAAAAGAGCCGGTGATTCTAGAAAGAGGACCCAGCCAGGGGCTCCCCCATATTCCCAGGCCCTAAAGATGGACCCACAGCCCTGACTCCATCTCGAAGACCGAAGCCTCCCCTCCAACTCCCAAGTTGTGCTTGTCACTAGAGGCTAGAACCCTGGGATCCTGCTGAGTTCCACCGGGGTGGTCATCCCACGCCTGGGCCCCGGGTATCCAGAGCCTGTCCCCCAGCTGGCTTCTCATCTCCAGGGCTATGGAAGAGGAAGGGAGGGAGGTCTCTGTCTCCAAACAATGTCAGAACCAGAATCAAGGATAGGAGGCACAGAGCAGGTCACAGCCCGCACCCATTTTTTTCAGTCCTCCCTACTTTCCCCCATTGCATTCTGGGAGCCCACATCTATTTTTTCATCCCCCATACAGGGCAGTGGCGCCGGGGGGGGGGGGGGGGGGGGGGGGGGGGGGGGGGAGTGTCTTCCCAACCCAACTCTGGAGAGGTCAGGACAGAACTACCTCAGTTGGCACCACCAGATCATGGCTTCCATCTGTTTCAGATCAGGCATTGGCTATAAAGTCTACAGCGGAAGTCCCAATCTGCCCTTCCTTTCAGCCTCTTTCTCAAGGAGGAAGCTCCCCACCTTCACCCTGACACTCCTTCCCAGACTCAATAGAAGATGTTTCCAAAGTCCTCAGGCAGCTGTGTGCATGTTCAAAGGCTTTGTGGGTGGAGTCTCAGAAAGTCTTGTCTGCCACATGCCCACTTCTCCTCAACACTATGACAGCCTCGTCCGGAGCTCGCCCAGACTGCTGACCACAGGTCATGTGGGATGGCGGTCAGGGTCAGTCTTGGTTTTTCTCTGACGGTTCCAGCTGTGGATGTGCGTGATGGGGTAGGAACAACTGTCCCCCTGACTGGCACTGGACAGCAGTGCAGACTCTTGTGGCTGTAGGTTATTACCACCTAGGAGAAGGAACTTTGGGAAGTCACATAGTCAGGAGGGGGCCAGATTCTAGCTGGGAACTTGTACCCTGGGAGGTCATCCTTCCTCATCTTTCCCACAGGTGACTTTGTATTTGACTTGTCTATCTCCCCAGAGGGCAGAATCCTCTGAGCCGAACTCACATCTTTCAGTCGTACACGCTAATAGCAGACAGTTTACTAATCTCGACCCTTTTGGGCACCTCATCCACAGAACCCTCTCTCATGGTTCTTAGGAGGATGCCTAATACACTAAAGCAAACTAAGCATTGTCACTTTTCTTACTGAAACATCTCAACCACAAAGGCCATCGTGAGGACATTTCACCAACCTGTGCTCCGCATCCCAGGGCTCAGCATGAACCGTGATACCAGCTCTCAATATTAGGATATTATTTCCTGGTTTCTGTATTTAAAAAAAAAATGGGTGCTAGTGCTTTAGCAACCTAATTTGTGAGTGACGGTCAAATTCTAAGTCTTGTCATACACAGGGTTTTGGGGTACCACAGTGTGGCTCATGACTTTGTTCCCTTACCCCCATCAAAAGGGTTCAGCGTCCTCTGAGATGTTACTTCCTCCAGCAAAACCCCAGTTGGCTGATGTGATCCAATTCATTCTGAGGCCATTCCTTCCTCATTGCCAACTCACCTCCTTTTCAGTTTGTCCACATACATCTTTTCCTCCTTGTCCCCCTCTTCCTTCCATCGTTCGTTCATGAAGCGTTTTGTTATAGACAAGCAATGTGTGATCCCTCTGAGGACAGGCTATGGCTCTGTCATCCAAACAAGCCCTCAGACCTGTTTTGTGTAGACTCACCTCTTCCTGAGATAATGTCAGCTTTCCCTCTCTGCCCCTTTGAGTTCTCAGAGGTACTGGATGTATGCTGGTTTGTCTGCATCTGTTCATTTTGCACACTCATTTTCTCAGTGAATGCTTGGAACTGGGTGCTAAGTGCTGGAACTAGTCTTGTGTCTAAGGGGACACTCTCCAGTCTGCCCCACCCACAGGTAGAACAGGTGTGTTTAGACCCTTCCAGAGAGAAGGTAGAATTCCACTTTACACTCGGATCCTTAAAGTATTAACTGTGCTAGGAGGTCTTAATCCAACAGTAAGATCTGAGTCTCGTAACTACCAAACTCATACCCAGCTCCAATTTCAAAACCGGCTTTGATTGTTTCTCAGTACCTTTCCTTGTGCTACAAATAGGAAGAGTGAGAACATGGAGGACGAGGGTACCAGGAAATGAGACCCAGAACTATGAGTCAAGTGTCCAACCGCCTTCACAGCACCCTGTGGGTGAAATCAAGAAGATTGAGAACCTGAAAGTACATACCGGAAGTGGAGTGTTCAAGCTATTGTTGGGGTCCTTGTTCTGTTTGCAGGGCTAGGGACCCAACCCAGAGCTGCATGTATCTAGTCCAGTGTTCTACCACTTAACTACCGCCAGCCCTGTTATCATGTGTTTGTGAACATGTCAGTGCTTAAGTTCTGAAAGGATTTGGCTGGGTTTGTTCAGGGTGGGCGGGCATCCATTGTCCAGGCTGAGAGCAGTACAGCCCTTTCTACCTGCCCCCGCCCAGGAGTGCATTCACTTAAGCTTTGTCTGCAAAAGCCTGATTTAAAAAAAAAAAAAATCTCTAAAATGAATGTTGTTCCAAAAAAAAAAAAAAATGGGTTGGTTACCATGACAACCTCCAGGAAGAGATACTTGTTACCCTTCATTATTTTCAAGTACTTTTGAACAATCCCACAGGGTACAGGCCATTTGAAGGATGTGGACAGCAGCCCTGAGCTGTCTCTGAGACTGCTGTGGGGCCACCTTTCTACCTCCACACAAGACCCTGTTGTCTCAGGAGGATCTCTGTGATGGTTGGTTAATAGCTGAAGCGGAGTATTCGAATTCCTGATGGGGTTTGTGTCGATTCCCTCTGTGAAATCCAGCCAGTTGCCAGGGTAGTGGATGGGTACATGAGACTCTTGGCTAAGCCAAAGCCCCTTCATGGAAATACAAGCCATAAAACTCAAAAGGTGTCGAAAGACCTTGGCTTGTTAGGGGGCTTGCTCCCAGCTGTGAGTAGCCTTGACAAGGAAAACTTAAGGGTCTGAAGACCTGCTGTTATTATGAAGCTAAGGAAGGCATTTTACAGATACAAAGTGAGGAAGCAGGTCAGCTGCCTGGTGGCTTAGCCTGGAGACGCCCTCATCCCCATAGTTCATATGCCAAAAAGTAACCTTCCACCTCCCCTTCTCAAGGTAACTGAGGTGTGATTAAAATATAGTAAAATTCACCCTTTCAAGAAATGCAATTCTTTGAACTTTAACATCTAGGATCTTGTCACCACAACCAAGATTGGCATGTCTTCATGTCAGTTCCCTTTTCCCACCCCTGATCTAGCAACCAGATCAATGTTCTGTCCCTATAGTTCTGCCTTTTACTACAATGCCATGTAAATGGAGCCACACCGATACAACCTTCTGAGTCAGCCATGATACTGTGTGTGTCATAGAGTGTGTCCCTTTCACTGCTGAGTAGAATTCCATCACATGGGTGGACCCCAGGGTTTCCTTAGTTTTAAAATGAGGGGTTTTTTTATGCTCTGGAAGTCACAGCCCCAGACCCCCAGTCTGTTTGTATAACTGATTCCAACCCATGGCTTCCTACATGTCTGGGGCCCCTTCCCCAGACCCCAGCGGTGACCTTGAGTGGTCCTGATGCTACACTCACTTTGTTGGTGATTCTAGTTGGGGGTCCGTACGGAAAGCAGGAAGGGGTGGCAACAGAGTGTCACCCTCCACTGAGGCAGCAGTATACCTCTCAGTGCAGGAAGATCCTGTCCCTCAGGGGGCTGTCACCTCAGTCTTCGGGGCCTGGCGTTTATTGAGCAATGACCCCTGGGCACAGTTTGTCCCTTCCCTGAATCTGTTGTGTCATCTGCCAACTGAGGGTGCTTGTCCTCGGAGGTCTCTGAGGCCTTCTGATCCGGTGTTCTCCCCATCCCCTCACTGCCTGTTTGCACCCTATGCACGTGCTCATGTGGTAACCTGGTGTCATCTGCACAGCTGTGGCCAGAATCCTCATGAGGGGCACTTTTCTAGGCAAACCCAAATGGAACGAAATCGTGTCACAAGCTGAGAATTAATTAGTTCCTCTCAGAACTGTTCCAAAGAAACTGTAAAGTCAGTACCAGTACCTTCTGGGTCTGTCCCCAGGAGTCAAGACAGCTATAACAACAGGGCCAGCAGATCAAGTCCTTATTTCTGGCTGTACTTGGACTTGCCAGCAGTCACACCAAGACTAGCTTGAGCAGGGCCCTGGCTGGGGCTTACTCCTCCAGGCTGTGGGCGGGGGGCCCCATGGGGCCTACTCCTCCAAGCTGTCTTGGTCGGTTACTGCTGAATGAAAAGTGGATCCTAGAAGGGAGCTTGTGAAGCTCCAGGTAAACTGAGGCATTCCTAGATTCAGGTGAGGGTCAGAACTGGGGAGTCAGAACCCAAGGGTCTCATATGGGAGGCAAAGCTGTTAGGACCCCTCAACTGCTGGTTAGTCATTTCTAAGGTGAAGGACCTGCTTCAAGGCGGGCTCCAACAGGGAACCAAGATCAAGGCTCCCCTGTCCTAATCTTCTCGTGCTAAGTGTGCCTCTCGGGGACTGAACTATGGGGGCTTGGGCTGGGGGAGTGGGATGGCCTGTAGATTCTTACAGGGTGGTGTGGCCCCTTTGTGTTTGAGGGGAGTTCCCAATAGTGACCCTGGGGCAGAAAGAAAGAAAGAGCTGAGATGTTTCCCAGTTTTTCCTGCACCCCAAGGTCATACCCTGTCAGGACTTCTATGTGCTCCCCTGTCCCTCCCCTGCAGCTTCCTCAGCAGGCAGGTTTTTGGACCCAGGCACCAACATTCCAAGGGACACCAGCCAACCTGGGTGAGGGCCCCAACTCTGTGTGTCTTTCCCTTCCCTGGGGAAAGAGATGTCCAGCGGCATTCCTTTGCAACCTGAGCACATCAGCAAGCCCCATGAACGTGGAATTTTCTAACAAAATAAATTTGCTTGTTTGGTCTGTTTTCTGTAACTTTTGCTAAATACTTTATACATTTTTAATGTTGAAAAGCGGTGTTTCCTGCCAGCATTCCTCACCCAGGATGAATGTGTTTATTCCACGCTGTATATCTTTCCGTGCTCCGGCTGCCTAGACCAGTAAATAAAATGGATGTAATATAAGTTGTAAGTAACACTGTCAAAACTGATCCCATTGGAGGCTGTACGCCTCCCCTACCCCATAATAGCATCTGTGTGTATTAATTCTAAAGAATTAAATGTTTAAATTAGAGTTTAAATTTTGAAGGCGTCTGCTATGTATAATTGACCCACACTATTATCAAGTGTTTTTAGGAAATTCAGTGCCATCCTTCCCCCTCCCCCTCCTCCATCTCTGTGTACACTTGAGATGCTTAGATTTGTCCCATGAAAAATAAACTCTCC